TCTGTGTGTTGCTTGCCCGAGACCTTATCTTTGTTTGGTTTCACCTTTCCAAGGTTGTGTGAAATGCCTCGCAATATCTCCGACCCGCTTTGAACCTATCACAAAGCCACGGGCAATGACAGCTTGGTGGAGTATGGTTATCATAGGTGGTTCCCGCTCTTACCGCAATGCTCATCAGGGACTCTAGTGATGAAAGTCTTGGGTTACTGCAGGCGGTTAGATCGCGGATATTTCCGAATGTTCCCGGCAATATTAAGACAGGCTAATCTTGCCAGATGAAAGTCAAAGGAGATTCTATGCATCATTGTGCAGTTGAGATATTCAGGCACGGCACTTATAGGCATATATGGCCCCATTTGAGTGTTGCATTTGTCAGGAATCTGAGTAATCTCGGAGTTCCAACTTGGGAACTTTTAGCGCGAACGGGCGGCAGTTGGATAAAAGATTAAGACAAAAAAAGACCGAGGGTCCAAGCTCAAGGCATCTTTTTTATTTGAGTGGCGCGATCCAGAGCCTGGTAAGTGTTGAGCACTATATGTGCCGTGACTGGTTAAAGGCATACACCTGTGGAATCTAGGCTTAGCTTTGGTACGGAGTACGGAGTATAGATCTCCTGTTTATCACCAAGTGGGGTTAAATTTGACCCTAAATTTTTGAAGTATGAGATATCACTTCATGTTGTGTGACTCTAGAGGCATATTTGGGCGTTGTGCATCCTCAGGGATCTTAAAAGCATGCGGGAAGGGCGATCCCGAGGTATGTACAACATTGCATGGCGTGATGGGTAAGATGGGTAAATGAACCTCGGTCTTCAGCGTGAGTTGAGGGGGTTCCTTGTATAGTGATCTGTTTTAATTTTTTTTATTCTGTATACAGAATGACTTGCATTTGATAGTAATGAGATAAAATGGCGATCAAACAATAACAACATACAACATATGCGTACTTCATACGGAGCTATCTGTGCTCCGTGGTGTATGTAGAAGGTCAGACATTCATATGATAGCGCTGACGTAAAAGACCAGGGCACTCCAGGGCTCATTTCGATGTGATTAACCGGTTAAGATGCTTCTAGGGTTCTTTTGCAAGTCTCTTAAATCTCTCAAATCCTTTAAAATCCCACTGTTCTTCTTATTCTTTACTGTACATATATTCTCTTCATTATATGCCAAGCCAGTCATACTTCTTACCTGTGAGCCGATTTCCAGTTAAGATTAGTCATTTCACATCGCCACTGGACCAAAGGAATAATTCAAAAAGAAAATCAAAAAGAAAAAAAGAAAAAGAAAAAAACAAAAAACAAAAAAGCAAAGGCGAAGGCAAAAGCCAAAAGAAAAGAAAAAAAAAAAAAAATCGCCGGAAACGGCACAACTCCACTGAGGACCCGTGAGTCGGACCAGCCTTGCGTATCTGGCCATGTTCCGGTAGATCAGCGATAGAGAAAAAACGGAAAAATTACCGGTACACGAACTGATCTCTTTACTCTTGACCTCTTCTCTTTCCTCTTGATATTTTTATTCCACCTTGACATCTCCTTGCTGCGGGCAAATTTCAAATGGCTCTCAGCTTCTTTAGTGGCGGCGGGAGCGCCAGCAGCGCCAAGTACTTCGACATTAGGTGAGTGCGGGACTGACCTGCAGCTCATGTGAACTGCATATCTGACATTATCCAGGTTGAATGATGAGTATATCGTGTTTCGCGGTGGTGAACATGAGGCCGCCAGTGCGCATCTGCGGGGCACTCTGATCCTCTGTTTGTCCGAGCCGCTCACCATTAAACACATCCGACTCCAGCTTACGGGCATGTCGCGAGTTTGGTATGTGTCGCATTTCCCGACTCCGAATAAATAGCACTAACAAACCCGTTCCCCAGCTGGCAGCTTCCCTCCAGTGCAGCCACCGGTGGCCGTAAGTCATGGCGTGAACGTGTGTTCTACGAGAAGACTTGGAGATTCCGGGAGCCAGGTAAAGGAAAAACCGAGGTCCTGCCCGCAGGTAACTACGAGTACCCTTTTGATGTGATACTTGAGGGCTCCATGCCTGAGAGTGTGGAAGGTCTTGCCGAGACATGGGTGATGTACCGCTTCAAGGCCGAGATCGGGCGCAAGTACGTCAAGGACATTGTTGCGCGCAAACCGCTCAGGATCATTCGAACTCTGGATCCTAGCGCTCTAGAACTATCACATGCAATGGTGAGTGGTTTTAGACCTAACCGATCGACTTTTTTACTAACAATCCTCCTAGTCTGTGGACAACATCTGGCCCAACAAGATTGAATACTCCATCAGTACTCCGACAAAAGCCATCGTCTTCGGAACCGCCATCCACGTCGATTTCAAATTGATTCCGCTTCTCAAAGGTCTTCGGATCGGTCAAATTACGTCACAGTTGATCGAAACCCATGACCTTACCCTCAATCCGGAAGACCACGATTCCATTCGCAACACATACAAGAACACAAGGACAATCTTGACCGACGAGCATGAATTGGACGAGGACAACATTGAGATCATCGATGAATCAGCGGAAGGATACCAATGCACGCGCATCCTGGACATGCCCCAGACATTGACCCGTTGTCTGCAGGATACAGACACCAAGGGGATCAAAGTCCGCCACAAGTTGAAGTTCCGCATTCAGCTGCACAACCCCGACGGCCACATCAGCGAGGTGAGTAATATTAGAACCACTAACGATTCTTCTGTCAGGCTAACGTCTCAATGCAGCTCCGTGCTACGCTTCCGGTTTCGATCTTCATCTCACCACACCTTGCCATCGACGACAACAACAACCTTACTGGGCAAACTCCCCAATCTACTCGGATCGCCGTGGATGAGTTCGCGCACCAGGCACCTCCATTGTATGGCGAGCACACGTTCGATCAGCTGTACAGCGAGCTAGATCCCAGCGGATATCGCACACCAGGCCCCGGCAGTGGTCCGGGCACGCCATTCACTCCTCTCAGTCGCAACATTTCGTCGGAGAACCTCGCGTCTATGAACGCCCTGACCAACACCGATATCTCGGCTTCCGCACTGCACCATCGTCTCATCAACCTAAACGCAAGTCCGCGCCCCCATCCCATCAATACTGGTACATCCGCTCCCAGCGAGGGGCTGCTCGGATCTCAATCCCCAACAGACGGATACAACATTCACCGCCAATTAGGTGTCCCTAATGACTACTTCGGAGCGATTTCCGGATCAAACTCACACAGCCATGGCAGTCCAGAACTCTCCCGTCGGCCATCCGACGAAGTGGAGCCCGAAGTCCTTCCCTCGGGTATGGCAACTCCCTTCCATCCCCAGTACGACGAGGTGGAGACCCTTAGCCGGGTTCCCAGCTACTCGACTGCAGTGCGCTGCGCCGTTCGCCCGCGCGATTCCGGTCTTCCCGATTACAACGCCGTGATCGCTAGCAGCCTTCCCACGCTACCAGTCCCGCAGTCTCCCCAGCAGGCTTACATCCGCAGCGGCCGTGCAAGCGGGGCTGCAACTCCCCTCGAGGTGCCTAATCGCTCCGGCTACTTCAATTCTCACGGCACCAATGCTGATGATGAGGAACGCAGACTTAGAGTTGTTCAAGCTCGCGCTAGAGCATGAGGTGTGGTCATGATCCCTCGATTCACGCATGATCTTCGGCCTTCAATTTCCACCAAAAGTTATCCTTCTGTACCGGTGCTGGACACCGAGACCCCCGCGAACCGCCCTACTCTATAACCTCTCTTCCGCCATTCTTCTTTCAATTCCCCCTCTCCCTCATATACTTCTACACGAACGATCATGGTCCCCAGCATTTACTACCCCTTTCGCACCTCAACGTCGGTCAATCTGGAACTTCTCACGCAGCATTGTTCTGAATCTTTCTACCATCCAACAGCGGCGCCTTCTCACCTCTTCTTATTTCTGTGCCTTTTCTTCAATTATTTTTTCCCTCTGGCGTTCAATCATAGACGGGGGATAGTGTCATAGAAGGTCACGGGTGTTTTGATTTTCCTGCTTGTTTACTTTTTTACCTCACGAATGGGATCCGATATCAACGAGCTGCATGACATTCAAACATGCCCATTAGCACGAGTCACGCATACGAGCCTTTGATGCATGTACTTAATTATTTTTTGTCGATTAGACTGAATTCTTCCATGCTCACACACATTTGACACCTTTGATGATATCATAGCCCGATTAGGAAATCAGCTGTCGATCATATTAGGTAATCAACGACCATCCATGGATACCCAAATGGCCTCGGAGGACTCTACTTCTTCCGGTGTCAATGGCATTGTTCGCTTTCGATGGATGCAACATTGGAGGTTCCATTGGCACATGGCTTTTGCCATATTCGGCATTGGTTTACAATCATACAATTTATGTTGTTCCTGGGCTCTAGCAAGTAGGTTTGGTTAGAGTTGAACCTTATACACGGATACCCAGTTCTTGATTGTAAACACAACTCGCGGGCTCTAGTATAGTGTAGAAGGCATTGTTTACGTTCAAACAACTTGTCATAATAAGGTTGGAAATAACCTGAATATTGGGTAGATGTTAAGCCACAGCATGTATCGAGTAAGGTCCAACAAGGTTCCAAGTGGCTTGATCCGATGAGCGAGGGGCACAGTGACCTCATTGGCGTTTGTCGATCGGTTAAGAATGGATTCTCTCGCCTTAAACCTTTTACCCAAAGGCAACCTTGGAATATCCCACATTGTGGAAACTGTTAGTTTATTGACTCTAGCGAGCAAGCCTGCGCGTCCTCATTTATGGATGTCTGTGTGCTAACTAGTCTGGGCATAGGTAGACTAGCGCTCCCCACCATCGGCATTGGACTTACACAGCCACCGATGCGAACAACCCCCAAATTATTCATTTGAGCCACACCATCACTCTCTAGCCCCGGGTTTGGCACGAATAATATAAATTCGACTTCGATTGTTAATTGTCGACGCCTTGAATTGGATCCCGGACTCACAGATCTACCTTGCCCCGCCGTTTCTCTGCTGTCATGTCCACTCCAGCGAGCCCCGCGGATGTGAAGCTGCCGCAGCGGTCTGGAACCGTGAGCAGCGGCTTCACTCGTCGTACTTCCATGAGTGACGATGAGGCCATCCCCGACACTGATAGTAGTGAGGTTTGTATCTATGATATCCTCGAAAAAAGGAGTACCTTGGACTGACGGTGTATTTGTTTACAGACCACCAATCTCCTGCTTGAGCGTCTCAAGGCCTGGAAGCATATGTGCGGATATCTCGAGGATTACCTCTCTGCTACCGCCAAAGTGCAAAAGTCCCAGTCAAAGGAGTATGAGAAGATCTTGAAGGTCGGTTTTTATTTCTATGAGTCGGGGGCACTGTACTGACGATAGATGGGAATAGGCCGTGAATGATCCCCTCAAAGAGGGCCACCACTTCAGCTCCAGCGCAGGTGGTGTGGCTGGTCTGTTTGAGAACCTCCGCAACAACACCCAGGGCATGGTTACCATGTACATGGAGGGCGAAAAGAACCTGAAGACCGCCATCCTCCCCACCCTCGAGCGTCTCCACAAAGAAATCAAGAACAAGTCCAAGGAGCTGAGCTCCGGAGCCGTCAAGGGCGCAAAGGCCGTCGAAAAGGCGCGCGGCCTAACCCAGAAGCACATCGAGCTCCTAGGCCAGAACTCCGCCTCATATGACGCCGCCGCCTCCGGCAAGATCGAGCAGCAACACGACCCCTATCTCCTCAAGCGCGGCATCAACCACCGTCTAAACAACCAAGTCAACGAGGAAAATAACCACCGCCAGGATATCCTCGCCGTGCAGAACTCCTTCCAGCAGTTCGAAGCACACGTCCTACAGACCGTACAAGGCGCTATGGATCAATTCCACCAGCACATGGGCGGCCAACTCGAGCGCCAGCGAGCCATGTACGCCGATATCCTCGGCACCGCCCAGCGCATCCCACCAGACTTCGAATGGATCAACTTCTGCGTCCGCAACGACGCAGCCCTCGTCAACCCAGACTCGCCTCCACGCTCCTTCTCCAGCATCACCTTCCCGAACATGGACCACCGCTCCACCCAGCCGCTCATCGAGGGCTCTCTGGAGCGTCGCTCGCGCGCCGTGATCAAGGGCTACAGCTCGGGTTACTACGTGGTCACACCGGCACGCTATCTGCACGAGTTCAAGGACAACGACGACTTCCGCCGTGACCCCGCCCCCGAACTCTCACTGTACCTGCCAGACTGCGTCGTCGGCGCCATTGACGGCGTGAAGTTCAACGTGAAGGGCAAGGACGTGTCCAGCGGTAAAATCGGTAACGCTTTCCACACAAACACCGAGCTCAGCTTCAAGGCCCACAACTCCAATGACGCTGAGAAGTGGTGGTCCGTTATCAAGGACGCTACTCGCGCCCCGGCGCTGACTGTTGCCGCCGCGGTGCCAACGCTCGCTTCTCCCACCGCGACCTCGCCTGCTGGCTCTGCGAGCCCCTCCCGCAGCGTGTCCGGCCAGAGCCAGCCGCCCACCTACGCTGAGAAAGAGATGCAGAAAACCCAGGCTTCTCCGGCTACTGCTGCTACGCCTGTGGCTGCTTCCCCTGTTTCTGCTAGCCCTGCTCCTACTCCGGGTATTAGCCGCACGGCTAGCACGGCTAGCCACTTCCACATGTCGCCCGGTGGCACCGCTGTGGAGAAGTCGTAAGATGATGGCATGTTTTTCTCTCGTTTTCGTTTAGGCATATCTTTTTAAGCTCTTTTGGTTCTTTGGACTTACATTGCCCACACATACTTGAATGACCCATGTGCATCTCGTCCGTTGATTAGGGTGTAGCGTTCGTTTATCCATTAGGAGAGCGAAGTATACCTTGGTCAACTGGATATATACCTCTTTAATGAATTTCTTTTTCACATCCAAATGCAAGAATCAGATATCAACGCTAACTGGATCGAAGATCCTTCAATTATCAAATACACAAAGTGGGTAGAGTTGTGTCGTCGAATCATATCATAGCCTATGTTGGAAGATACACACGGGCATGGGGTAGCTAGGTAATCCCAGCATACATCGTTGCATACATCTTCATATTCCAAGATCAGAAATCCTCAGGACTTTCCAGATCATCCAGTTTCTCCCCGAGGAAACGTCCTAGCGCAGCGCATTTGGATTCCAGCGCAAGCAAGACAGCTGGTGAGGCGGAGAGATTCAAGCTAGCCAGACGCTCAAGATCGGCGCTGCGGTCAATCTCAAACTGCGGGTCTCGGTGGCCGTTGTGAGGTGGGTTCGGAGGCGCAGGCACGGCAGCAAGTGTGCGCGAGATATCGCCTTGTGCGCCATCGGGTGTAGAAGTTCCGTTAGTAGCATCGAGGGCGCTGGCGTCAGTCGCGAGAGAGTCGGCATTGGTCGCGCCGTTTGGCTCTGGTGCGTCTAGGCTGGATGGACCGACGGCAGCGACGAGGACTTTATCCGCGATTCGGGTTACCACGGCGACAGACTCGTCAAGTTCAAAGACGATTGAGCCTACGTCGCCTAGCGACATCGACTTAGCGGTTATGTAGGATGAGGGGTGGCTCGCTGGGTTGACGCCTGTCAGGTTTCCCGTCGAGGCTGTCTTGGCATAGCATGTGTAGGCGGCGCCGTAGGTTGCACTGAGATTGCGCAGTTGGCGGGAGGAGAGGGAGGAGCCGTGGGCGAAGACGGCGCCGTTTGTTGCGAAGACACTAGAGAGATGCGGTCATTAGGTGTTCCTTGCGATGGAAACGCAGCGGGCATACATGATCGTTGTTATCTCCGGCGGGGATAGGTTATCTTCCAAAAGGTCGCTTAGCGCCTCTGCGTCCAGCATCTTGATATCGGGGAGACCGGGAATCATGGTGTCGGTGTCGGTGTCGGTGTCCTGGCCTACCGAAGGCGTGTGTTCCTCCTCCTGGATCTCAGGTTCTTCCTGCAGTGCTACGCAATCTACCTCCGCAATGCAATTTTTTGGAGGTGTCCACGAGCAGTCTTCCGGGAAAAAGAAACAGTTGTCGCGATAGTCCTCGTCGTCGTGATCGTATTCAATTGGTTCGTCGGAGTAGTCCAATAGGTTCTGGGCACACTTTGTCGGGTAACGGGCCCAGTAAGGCAGGAAGATCGGTTCTGAGGGAGATGGGGTGGTAGGTATGGATAGAGTAGTCGAGGAGCAATGGGATATAGAAGCAGAGAAGCTAAGAACTGGAGGAGGTTCGCATTTAGCCATCTTCACACCCATGGTTACGGACTCGGCACGCAGCGATTATGACGAAGCGTTTATTTATTCCGCACAAAAAGGTAAAATCAATGTAAATAGGGCACAAGGACAGGTAATGTTCTCACAACGGGGGCTTGGCCAGGTAGATGACAGGGAATGAGGGGAACATGCAGCGGTTCGGAACCGTTGACTCAATGCGCATCCAGGTTCTCTAGTCCAAATGGAAATTCACGATGATTCCAATCGCGTCCAGTGGTACACAGAAAAAATCCAGGAAAACAGAGGTTTATGAGGCCCGGTACGACCAGCGGGTGTCATGAGATGCGTGAGGCAGCTCCGCAATGGGAGCACCACGATCGGGCAACATAGAGGAAGCGTGCACACGAGCAGTGACTTGATTGGGAGAGGAAGAGGGGAAGGATATGTGGAAAACGAGAGCTAAGCGCGGCAGTATAAGAAAGTCCAAAATAGGAAGTTCAAAATAAAGAAATGAGACAGGATGCGACACGACGCCGGGGCGAGGATAGAGGCCAATGGTAGGAAAGGGATCAACCGGGAGCGGGGGAGAGAGTTTGAGGATTATGCAAGAAGAATATCCACGAACCTGGTCTATGCAAAATAGGCGAACCGGGACAATTGGGGGTGTTCGAGGGTGGGAGTTCGGAGGTTGAGTTATGAGAGGAAGAGAGGGAGGAATTGGAGACAATCGATTCCGTTGATGTGGAGTTCCCGCATGACGTTGACACGCCGAGGTACACTTACTAACTAGTTGGTTAGTTATACTGCGATTATGTATTTAGTGGTATCCTATGTGTAATATTATTGTTTAGCTCCAAATCAAGCAATTCCCACACTCGTATTTCCCAATTTGTATTAGACCTACCTATATTACCCATACATATCATCAAATGGTAGTTATATACTCGGATTCGTTGCCGTTATGTTTCAGATTAACCTAACATACTAGGCGCGCCCTAGAAGTATTGAGAATGACGGACTAAAGTACATAGAACCTAATTGATCCTAGTTCTATAAAATATACGTCTAATTCTGTATGTTACAAGAGCTATATTGTAAAAACAGGATATAGCGTCATGTGCCCCACCACTATCTCCCGGCCGACAAAAAGCTCACCTTTTGCCCCTCCCATCCTCCTCTCTCAATGTCCGCTCGTCTTTCCGCCAGGGTCCTCCAACAAAGACATTTTCTACCAATCAGTAGGCTTAATTAATATTCAACTGATCGTCCAATTATTGACAAGTTACCAGGATCCATCGCAACCATGGCTTCCGATACCTCCACCTATAAGCTTAACCGTTCGTGCATACTTCACACTCTTTCGGCATAGTCACTTAACACGATGGGGACATTCTAGACACGATGATTAGGGTCAAAGATCCGCAGCGATCGGTGGATTTCTACAAGTTCCTTGGTCTGAGCTTGGTCAACACGATTGACATGCCTGAATGGAAGTTTTGCAACTACTTCCTGGCATATGATGGCCCTGCCTCTCTCCAGGGTACCCGTCACTGGACCGATCGCAATGCCGTACTGGAATTAACTCACAACTACGGCACCGAGAACGACCCCAACTACAGCGTGGTGAACGGAAACACAGAGCCACACCGTGGATTCGGTCACATTGCTATCTCAGTTGACAATATCGAAGCCGCCTGCAAGCGGATCGAAGATGCAGGCTACCCCTTCCAGAAGAAATTGAGTGAAGGCCGTATGCGACACATCGCCTTCGCTAAGGATCCCGATGGATACTGGGTTGAGATCATTCGTCGCGCCGATGAGGATCTCAGCACCACCACCGACCCGGGTAGCTACCGACTGAACCACACCATGCTGCGCGTGAAGGATGCCGAGGTCAGCTTGAAGTTTTACCAGGAATCCATGGGCATGACTTTGGTCCGCACCATTGAGAACCCAGAGAACAAGTTCAACCTGTATTTCCTAGGTTACCCTGCGTCCAACCCAGAGATCAAGGAGGGTAGCAAGAATGGAGTGGCGGAGTGGGAAGGTCTGCTGGAGTTGACCTGGAACTATGGCACCGAGAAGCAAGAGGGCCCTGTCTACCACAACGGCAACACTGAGCCCCAAGGTTTCGGTCATATCTGTAAGTGGATTGATCACTGGAATGCTCCTAATTGATTTTCAAGGTTCCTAATTTGAATTAGGTATCTCTGTCGACGATCTCCCGGCTGCGTGCGACCGCTTCGAGTCTCTGAAGGTGAACTTTAAGAAGCGCCTGACTGACGGGAAAATGCACAACATCGCATTTATTCTGGATCCCGATGGATATTGGATTGAGGTGGTGCAGAACGAGGGTATTAAGCGCACTGGAGACTGGTAGTACATAGCAAATATTGTACCAAGCCAAGACATGTACATACTCCAAATGTGAAAATGCAGAATATCACTTGACCTCGTCTTGATTATTCCCCCCACCATTTCATAGGCCAACGGTGGTGGACCCTCCCCCGCCCCCAGAACATTTTGATCTCGGGGGAAGATATTCCTTTTGCGATTTATAAACTTCCTTTTTCACTTGCGTAATGGCTTGATGATGAGAATTTCAAGAATTTCGTGAATTCGACCTTGGATGCAGGATGAATTAATGTGATATCCCCCATTTCCTCTTGTTTTGCGGGGATTCATCGCCTTACACACAACTCAAGCTACCCCAAGCTTCAAAATTGGGAAGAATCGTCCAGGACTTGGTCTTGTACCTCTTACCAATGTCCCCCGATCCAGAGAAATCAAAAAAGGCACCCCGTAAACATGTCACCACCGCCTGTGTGCCATGTCGGGAGAGCAAAATCAGGGTATGTGCTCTGAACTTGGAGGCAAAAAGCCTAAATGGCTTCAAATAATCTAATGTACCACTTGCTACCAGTGTGACGGAGCCACTCCGCACTGCCAGAATTGTCAGCGCAAGGGGAAAGAATGCAAATATCAACATGGAGACGACAAGCGCAAGTAAGTACGACATTAGGGGCTGTTCGGAAGTGGAGTGAAGAAGGGGCCCTCGTAGGCGCACATCACTTAATGTTCAAAGGCTAATATGAACTAGAGTGTCGCTTCGAGCATCAACTGAGTTGTTCTCGGCCCGAATTGACCAACTTTGTCATTTCATTAAGGAGCAGGGGCTGGAGCCACCGCCAATGAATCCAGAGGATGAGGCTGGCATGAACAGGGTTCTGGATACCCTCCAGATCGCGCGCGGATTCCCTCAAGTCTCAGCAGTGGCTGATGAAAAGCGACCACCGGGTGAGCCAGCGGTCTCTGGGATCTCCAGTAAATCACCGTCCCAGGATCCACCTGCTGTAAATCCCAAGGGACAAACTCCGACCAGCAATTTGGTTGTTTCTGGTGCTTCCCCAGCGCAAGATACTGCCTCTAGTGGAAAGGCCCCGTCGCCTGAGGGTTGGAATCCTTTTGGAATGGTACCAGGCGCTTCGAACAATCAAAACTTTGTTCATTGGGGCTTCACTTTGCCAACGGCCGAAAGTCTAGACACGATTTACGCCAACCTCAACGGAGGACCGAGAGCCCCTGCAATGCCTAGAATGCCCGTCAACACGGAATTGAGCCCGGATAGCTACCAACTTGGTATGGACATGGCCCAACAGCCGGGAGTCTTGCTAGGCCAGCTACCCCATGACGCAGAAAATGATTCGGACAGCGGCGAAGAGGATGAAGCTGAAAATGACGTTATTGAGCAACTGTCGCACCGAATTGGCACTTTGAAAATTGCAGGTGATGGCCATCTGCGATTCTACGGTGCCACGTCCAACCTCAATCTAGTGGACGTCTCTGCTACACAGCAGCGGCAACGACCAGACGCGAGGACTGTGCGCCACGATGGACAGGATATTCTGAACCACCTCCGGGTTGGTCAACCTGTTGATCAAGCCCTGGAGGATCATCTTGTGGAGCTATATTTCACCTGGCAAAACCCCAGTACATACATTGTCGACAAAGGGATGTTCATAACGGCACGAAACAAATGGCGCAACGAATTAGATGATACCCCGTTCTATTCAGAGGTGTTAACCAATGCAATGTGAGTTCGCCCTCATTTTCCGGTGCTTCAAGGATTTGCTGACTTGTTGCAGGTGCGCGATCGGAAGTGCCTTTGAGGCGCGCTATCACCCCACATTCATCACTTTTCCTAAGTCTCTGTCTGAATTCTTCGCAGACCGCGCCAAGGCCCTTCTGGAAATTGAACTGGATTCTCCTTGTGTTGCTACTGTTCAGGCTCTTGTCATTATGAGCAGCCATGAAGGCGCATCAAATCGTGATGCTCGAGGTTGGCTGTATAGTGGTAAGTATATGTCTTGGAGACGGACACGATCAACGCTCATCGCCTAATTGCTCTGCAGGAATGTCTATGCGGCTTGCTTTCGATCTTGGCTTACACCTAGACATGACGACATACGTCAACAAGGGCGAAATCACCCAGCTCGAGGCTGATGTACGCCGTACAACCTTTTGGGGAAGCTATGTCGCAGACCAGTGAGTTCTCGCAGTATTTATACTGTCAATATCTCTAACAGTAACTAGTTTCTGGGGCTTCTACTTGGGCCGCCCGTTCCGAAACAACGCTGGAGACATAGGTGTTCCAAAGCCTGGCTCTGCTCTTTGTCCTGAAAAGGAAGAAAACTGGCATCCGTATGGCCATCAAGCTTCTCATATGCTATCTCAAAACGGGTTGAGGAATCCCATGGAGCTAATATGCAGACAATTTGTCGTTCTTTGGGAGATGATCTCCCCAGTGGGTCATATTTTGTATGTGGCTTTTGCACGTTATTTAGTACAATGCTAACATGCCATTAGGTATGGATGTTCCGATATCTCTCGACACGACTTGCAAAGGATCACTTATCAAGTGACCGAAGACTTGTTCGCCTGGAAAGCAAATCTTCCTTCTACCCTTGAGATTGACTTGAACGATGATACCTCACCAAAATTGCCTCATTTGATGATGCTCCAGTAAGTTTGTTCAACCCAACGGACGCGCAGAATCATACTGACAGTTTCTTGCAGCATGCAATACCACCAGATAATCATTTTCTTCCACCGCCCATGGCTTTCCAAAAGCTACATCCAGCCCCGCAGCCCTCGTCAAGGCCCCGGTTATCACCACGCACGCCGAATGTGCGTGGAGTCAGCCACCGCCATTGCACGACTACTCCAACTCTTCGAAAAACACTACACTTTCCGCCGCATGAACAACCAAGTGGTAGCGATCATCTTCAGCGCAGCGCTCATGCTTCTTTTCGTGACAGTATCCAGCTCCCCAATAAGTCCGGGCAAACAGGGTGACAGCCCAACATACCCTCGCAGCACGGAAATGGTAGCATACCTCAATCTGTGCTTCCGCGCTCTCGATGAACTAGGTCAATCATTTGACAATGCAAAGCGCACCCGCGACTACCTTGTTACCCTCCAGCGACGCTGGCAGGCAAATATGCGCCGATCCGGCTCTGCGACGAAACGGCAGAATAGCAGTGCTAACTTGGCGTCGCTGGGCTCGCAGAAGCCGTCTCTACAGCATGCCCGGGCTGCCAATGCGCATGGAATAGATGGCTCGCGGAAGAAATCCCGTTTATCTGTTTCTGGGGTCCCTCCTAATATGAAATCAACAGCACCTGTGACGACCAACCAATATTCCCACCTCTCTCAGCACACCGTACCTCCTCATCACCAATACCATCAACATAGTTCTTACCAACAACAAGCCCCCTTTCCCGTTCCAGTTCCCGATTCCCAGCTCGGCGATCTAGACTGGATCCCCAACTCGGACATGCGGCTTTTGTCTGAGACTCAAAATGGCAACGCACTAAATGGCATGGGCCAGATTCCTTCTCCTCCTTTCCCCGAGGACCCGAGCATGCTATCAGAAATCGCGGATATTGATGGATGGTGGGCATCGGAAAACTACTCGAGGACCTCAATGCCGCCATGAAATCATTATTGGGCGACTAGTCACCTTTTGTTTTCTTTGCTTGATTGAATACCCACAGCATTGTAGAGAGTACTCAATTCATCGAGTCTGTCAAATTTGTCACCCAATTAATTCCACATGTGAATCGGTCTTATATTAATTGGCCAAATTTAATCTATATCCTCCATTGTTCCTTCAAACACATCCTTGAACCAGTCACCCACTTCCTCTCCCTCATTGCCATCAGTCCTCTGAACCTGAGACAAAGTAACCCTCCGCTCCCCAACGCCCTTCTCCCGCCCCCAAAAGCATGCCCGCCGCATAGCAGATACCATCTCATCAGCCTGTCTTGCAATAACCGTAGAACCATGACCCCCCTCTCTAGTCTTCTTCTTCAGCTCGGTCACAGACGAAGAGGAAGAATCCGAAGCCAAACCAGCACTACCCTCTCTCAAAAACACCCGAACCCAAGGCAAAGCCATCTCCAACCGCCCAATCCCATCTCCAGGCCCAGACCACGTATTCCCACTGATCCTATAATCCAGACCATACGGCGGCCAGCGCGAAAGCGCCTTCCGGCGCCGAGTAACCGTACCGCTAATATCATCAACGTCGTCGGCATCCATATCCGGATACACATCTCGATCCCAGATCGACCTGTCCGATGCTGCGTGTTGTTCTGCGGCTGTCGTGCTCCGCGCCTTCTCCTTCAGCACGGGGACGGGATACTCCGGTCCAGTGAGATACTGCGGGAATGTGCGCGGTACATCCCGGCCTGCGGAGCGGAGGAAGAGGATTGGTGAGGCGAAGGAGTCGAAGTAGCGCTCTGGGGTTGAGAAGAATTTTGAGCGCGCTTGGAGGAGAGGGACTAGGTCTGGTGGTGCTTGGGACTTTTTTCTTGGTTGGCGCTTGTGTTTGGATGTTATTGTTGTGCTTGGAGTGGTATTGTCTGCTCCTTTTTTGGAGGGTGTGATGGTGCTCTCGCGCGTGCAGTACTCATCCAACCCGGGCCAGTCGCAAACGGGTTCTACGGCGGCGACGGCTTGGATGGATTGCGCTTCTGTTAGAGCTAGCATGAGAGCTAGAGAGCCCCCGATGTGTGTGCCGAAGATGGCTAGTTGGGATGGTCGGAGGTTGGTTTGGATCCAGTCGAATCCGGCCAGTGTATCGTGGACTGGGGTTGGGTATTTGTAAGAGGTGAGTTGAGGATTGATTGGTTCCGGGGTTTGGTCCGAGGACTCAATTGATTCTTGCGATATAGAGATTTCATCTGATGATGGGGAAATAGGTGTTTGTTTATCCCCGAGGCGGTAGTTGACTGTGACTACCAATGCAGACGCGGTAGATGCTAGGACATGCTGGGGTGAACCTGCTGCAGAGGCCAAGGCATTGGTATCGCCAGTCCTTTGATGATCAACTTCAAAGTTTCCATGCTTTTGAGATTCGCTCGTGCCATTTCCCTGGAACAAAGGTCCAGGCGGAAGGTAGAGGATTACATTTGGGTCTTTTGGTGATTGCCCCTGCTGAGACCAGCTCAACGCGCTCGGTCGCGTAATTCTGCGGACAAAGTTAGCATGTATGACTAGGCCTCATATCGAAGGTTATCTATTACCTTAGTGAGATGGCTCCATTGTTTCCAATTGGAAGGGAAATTGTCTCATCTGTGCAATCGGATGAGGCGGTCGAATATCGCGAGCTTTGGAAACACGCGACGAAAATGCGGGTAGCTCCTCTGCTGCGACGCAGGACAAGGGCTATACCGCGGGACGAGCAGATGATATTTTGCATAGCACTATTGGAGCATGTACCTGATCTTTGATAAAACTTGTTAAGGATCGGTGTGTTGGCCTTGCTATCCGAAAGTAGTTGATGCCTGAGTAATCTGGCTACATATGTGATAATATATAATTGGAAAAAGATATCATAAATGGAGCACTAGAATGGTAATGATGCTACCTTCAAAGACTGGCAAGTCTAATCTTAACAAAATTCATACAGTCTGGGATATTACAGCATATATTGTGTGCATCATTCTTCAATTCAACATCCAAAGACCAAGCTAACCATGCACGAATGGCAATTTTGTATCGCTCTACAATTTCAAACCAAAAAAGCAAAACAGAACAAAACAGCAAAAACCGACGCATGCACTAGATAGGTAACAAACTGCTCCAATAGCCCCTCCACGAATAAGTGTCTCACTTCGAGGTAGTCGCCGACGCCGCAGGGTCGTCTCGGTCCAGAGGAGCTTCAGTATCATCCTCTGGCACAGGACGCACAACCTGCAAACTCAACATCGGATCCTTGGAGTAAACCCGCAGCCCAACCACACACACAGCGTTCCACGGGTCAAGAGCAGGCTCGTCACGGTCCATCAATGGAGGGTGATTCTTCACATCCGCCTCGTCAGGAGGCATATCGACATCGCTGTCAAATTCGAACCCTTCAAGTAACTCAAGGTCGCTCGGGTCCAGAGAATCTGTAGCAAAACGAACGTCTAGGCTGGGACGTGGGGAGTCCGCTCCACGTAGCCGGCCACTGTTTGCCTGTCTCGCGTGCAGGCCCTGGCCGCCGTTGACGTGGATGATCGGGACGGAACCGTTGACACGGCGATCACTGCTTTCGCTCGAGATACTTGCAGCCTCGATAGGAGATTCTTCCACTGGTCTCTCTTTCAGAATCTGGCTGGGAATATAATCGCATTCGGGGTTGTGATCGTAGGAGCTACCGCTAGGGGTACGGCTCCCGCACCTTGCTTTCCTGCGCTCTTCTCGAGCACTTAGCTTCCGATTGCGGATCCAATCCTTCTGCATATTTTTCTTAATCTCATCCCGAAGCTTTTTACGCTCGGCTGCCTTCAAAAGTTCCTGCTCATGCTTTTCTTGCTCTGTCTCGCCCACCAGTCCCTTCGCATGTGCGAGGTCGTATGAAAGGCCGACTTGGACCAATTTCTCTCTTCTCGTCGACGCAACCTGGCGGACGATTTCTTCGGTGGAATCGACGTCTTCGTGACGGAAGGCTGTGATTTTCATCAGGACGTGATAGCGACCCGGGTCAAGATCGATCTCGGCGTTAACAGATCGGCCCATGAAATGGCTGTTGTGGCTGCGCACGAGATAATCTTGTTCTCCGTCCTTCTGCAGACGGAATTTGAGCACGAAGCTGTACTCGCCGGCTAGTCCTTTGAAATAGCGTGCATCAAGCTGTGTCTGTCAGCTACTGTACAAGAGCAGGATTGATGGAGCAAAACGAACCTGGGATAGCACAATGACTACCGGACCACTGGTGGTCACATCCATCATAAATTTAGTGCTGTGATAATCAGCGGACCAGGGGACATTCAAGGTAGTCCATTGCTGGGTAATTGTCCATTCAGGCCCAAAAAGGCGAGTCCGGTCGAAGTGCTGGTATTTCTTGAGGAGGTCTTTATAGGAGATCCAGAAGAGCTGGGCCAGGTCAGCATTTTTAGTCAAAGCGCAATGGATGAACACCTACACCATCGTTGCCAAATTTATGGCCAAGCTTTTCCATCCATTCAGGCGTCCATTCTTTGGATCCATCACCCCAGGCACCGTACCATTCTTTGCGGCCCCATGGGTTCCTAGGTGCTGTGAGCTTTTGGTTCACATTCGAATAGCGCATTCGTGCACATACCTCAATCGCAGTAGTCGATGTCCGTCAATCTCCCGGGCATCCATGATGGAGTAGGAGTGGCCCTCTGCGATACCCTTTCGATCCCTTGGTGGACCATGGTACGAGGGCTCCAACCAGTTTGAAAATAGACCCGTCCCGCAACCAAACAAGAATTCCTTATTGACCTTCATAATTTCCTCAGTCCAAAAGCGATCCTTGTTCAGGATGTTGCTGGATAAGACCTCAGATGTGACGCCTCCGGTAAGATCCTCGAGAGCTTCACCAACAAATCCACCCTCGATCGCAGAATAGTCGCCATGGGCCTTTGCGAAGGCTTTCTCTAGAAGAGGTAGCCAAGTCTCGTTATCGTCGACGCACTGGGCAAAGTACAGGGCCCGCGAGCCTGTCTGCCAGACTCGCCGGTACTCTTCCTCCGTATCATTCCGATTGATGTCGTCCCAGAGGGGCCGCTCAGTCACAGACTCATCATAGTCGGCAGCGCGGAGATAGAGCTTGTCATCAATAATGCACTGCTGCCACTCGCCGTCTGATGATTGAAGTCAGCATGATTGCATGTCGGATCGGACTCCGAGCACACGCTTACCTCGATGGAAAACAAATCCATAGATTCCAACGTCTTCATTGCGAGCAACACAAATCTTCTCGATAAGCTCCGCCTTGTTGCCCATAGTACAAAGCGCAGCCATGAGCCAGCAATCCCCATCATATCCCTGTCGCACATCTGACGCGGTAGGCCCATTGACAAAGAACTGCGGATTCTCAAAAATTTCCTATATGAAAATCTTTAGTAACCTATGATCCGATAACTCCTGATATGTGGTTTTCAAACTCACGGTCACTCTCTTCACTCCCTGTGGTCTGAAATCGTTATTGGGTTTATCCAATCCATCGAGATAGTGTCTCCGACCACACTTCAGATCTAACTCGATATCAAAGTGCGGGTCTGAGTATTTCTGATTCACACGCTCGCATTCCTTGACAATACGGCAGACGGACTTTTCACATTCCTGGCGCGCCTGCTCGTACGACTTGACGGCCTCGTGGCCCTGGATACGGCCGCTGGGTACGTGCTTGGCCCGCGTCCGTGCATACGGGTTGTCTGGCAGCACCGTGTATACTTTGCCGGGGTACTTGGTGTTGAATTGTTCCCAGAACTGCTTGACGAATTCCTGGGGTGCTTGACAGCGTGGACGGGGCGGTCGGCTGTTTGAGCGCGAGGAGCCTGGTCCTGCTACGGCATAGCCCATCTCGTCGTCGAACTCCATGATTGCGGTCTGTGGGCTGATGTTCGTTGTTTGCTTGAGGAAGTTATTTGGATTCTGCTTCTTGCTTTTTTTTTTCTCTTGAGGAAGCGCTGCGGTGGGGATGTTTGGGCGGCTATTTCTCTTATATCACACTAAACACCTCCAAAAATGGTGACGATCACGGATGAAAATAGAAACAAGACGGGGATGCTCTTCTAAATAAGAATTTGGGAAGATATTCCCCAATTTTCCCCCTCACACGGCCACTCCGAGCCGAGAACATAGCCTCAGCCTGCTTTCCCTCGTATTGATTTACTGGGCTTGGGCCTGCACCCCATAAAAGCGTTCATCTTAAGGCTGCAGATGCATTGGGCTAGCGGGCGAACGAGCGAATCTGACAACAAATGGTGCTTTCGGCCCCCACCTCACTCAGCCCCTCCTGTAACGGGCTCAAAACAAATAAGCATGAATTTCAAATCAATATTAGACTGGATCAGACTTCGGGGTGTTGAGCAAGTCGTGGAGCGAGAAAGCAGTCAGAAAGCAGTGAGAAAGCAAGGAATGAAAGAACTAAACTTGGATGAGATGCTTAGCATGTTTCATTCCAAAGTTTTGTGGGGCGAAGTTCAGCTGACATGGGGCCCATGACGCTTGACCTGCACCTAGCTCATGGTCTATATTAACCTGAGGCTGAAGAAGCTGAATACAATGGTACCGTAACATCATTTTTCATATCTGATTACAGTGTAGAAAGGGTATGTACGCCTGTTATTCAAGACTAAAGCACTTTCATATCCAGTAAGCCCGCCCTCCATATCACTCCCCGTTGAACGCCGAAAGAGGAGAAAGAAAACATGCACCGAAACCATTCCCCAGGGTGAATAAGACTACGCAGAAAAAGCGTGGAGTCGTCACACTACTGGTAGCTGTTACTGGCACCACGTCCGGAGTAGTATGCAGTGCCGTTGCGGAAGTACGGGTGGAGACAGGCCTGCTTAGCCGATAGTCGGTGTGCAGGATCAAACTCGAGCAGAGACTCCAAGAGCTGACATCCGGCCTCCTCCAGCCCAGGAACGATCTCAACATCAGGGCGCTTCCACTTGGGGAAAGTGGATTTATAGTCGGGGAACGAGGTCACACCGGGCCAGGTATCTTCACCAGGCGTACCAAGGATACTGCAATTGGTTAATACGATTGAACACAGAACAGAACAGAACCACCCTTACCGGAAGATCTTGAAGATCTCATCAATTTCAGAATCACCGGGGAAGAGAGGCTTGCGTGTACACATCTCTGCGAAAATGGCACCCACGGACCACATGTCAACACCCGTAGAGTACTGACGTCCACCCAGCAGAATCTCTGGAGACCGGTACCACAATGTGACAACCTATAGAGTATGTTAGTAAATAGAGAACTCCGCCAATTGAATCGAAACTCCAATGCATACCTCATGAGTGTAGGTGCGAAGGGGAACACCGAACGCTCTGGCAAGACCGAAATCGGCCAATTTCAAGTTGCCTTCGCGGTTAATCAACAAGTTCTGGGGCTTCAAGTCACGGTGCAAAATTCGGTGGCTATGGCAGTATCGGATTCCCTCAACAAGTTGGGCCATGAACTTTTTCACAATTGCATCCCCCAGGCCCAGGGTTGTACCCGCCTTGAACCCATCGGGTAAAGGCTTCCCTCGCCCGCCGTCACTGACAGGCAGAGCCTCCATGTATTTCTTAAGGTCGAGATCGAGGAATTCGAAGACAAGGTAGAGCTTATGGCCATCGGCGTGGACAATATTCAGCAGCTGGACAATGTTGGGGTCCTGCATCTCCTTGAGGAGAGAAATCTCGCGGATTGCAGTGCTGGGAACGCCCTCATCTTCAGCTTCGAGGCGAATCTTCTTCAGGGCAACGATACGATTGGGGTGATTGAGTTCCCGGGCCTTGTAGACCACACCGTAAGTGCCTATGGAGCATCGACGCGTGAGTTGGGCTGTGGATGACAACAGTCGCGTGGAGAGTACATACCCTCGCCGATCTTCTCAATTTTCTGATAGTTATCCATGGTGGCCGACATTCGATCCTTTTCTACTGTTAATGAGATTAACAATTTCAAGACAGAAAGGCTGCAATGGGAATTGACACAGATCGGAGGGAGGTTGCCAAGCAGAATTTGTAGGGGAAGCAAGGAGAGGAGATAGTCACTACTTACATCCGAGGATATTGATATCTGAGAACAGCCGGAGCAGCACGCTCTCCAAATTCCACCTGGAGATCGTAAAAAAGTAATTTGTTGAAGAGAAATTGACGAAAGACAGTATTTCAATGGTGGGGAGAGAAAGACACAAAACAAACAACCCCCGCGCCCATCATAGGGCGGTGAAGCGCGTACCTTTTCTTTCCCAGTTCAACTTTCTCTCAGACTTCATCTCTTCGCAATGGCCCAAATTAAGGGTCTTAGTGCCTATGATCGCCCTCCTGATCCAGTGAGACTTTGCTATAAGAAATATTCTAAGATTGCCTTGTCCAAAGTTGACAATGATCCGGGGATCCTCGACCTACAACGGATCGATCCCGACCAACTACCCGATGGAGTGACGATCACGCAGTATATGTCCAGCCAAGATCTACGATTAGCTTTTGATGATTTCATTCGTGGAAGCCATGCTGCAACAGACGAGCATGCCCCTCTGACTGAGGATATTCCAGTATTCGCTCACAAATCGATCTCCGGTTAGCATTGTATCGCCTCAATTTGGAACTGACCCAGCAGGACAAAGAGCTATGCCTGACCTCCTGACAGGCCTCCTGATGATTCCCGCCTTATTCCCTCCCACCATCCAGATCGAACTGCTCTCTCGCCTATTCCACCGAGACTTACCCAACCCCGAGCATCAGACAAACCTACACCTACACTATGACGTTACGTACCCCGAAGAATCAGAAGAAACCCACATGCCCAAGTCATTCTTCGCAGACGACCCCACTCGCGCTTTCCAGCCCAAGGATCCTCATGTGCACAAACCTTTGACGGTTCAAAATCTCTTGGAGAAAAAGCTGCGGTGGGTGACATTAGGTGGACAGTATGACTGGACTGCTAAAGTATACCCATCTGGAACCCCACCGGAGTTCCCGCCGGATATTGCGAAGGTGCTCCGTGCAGCTTTCCCAGCGACTTCGGCCCAGGCTGCCATTTTGAACCTCTATTCCGCTGGAGATACCCTGAGCGTGCACCGGGACGTGAGTGAGGAGTGTGACGTAGGTTTGATCAGCGTGAGTTTTGGATGTGACGGATTGTTTTTGGCTAGCCACGACGACGGAAACGGCTGCGAGATCATTCGGCTTCGCTCGGGCGATACTGTTTACATGAACGGTAAATCGCGGTTTGCCTGGCATGGAGTCCCGAAGATTCTGCCCTCAACCTGTCCGAAATGGCTGGCCGACTGGCCATCATCTGGGGAGTCAGCTCCGGGAATGCCGCCTGGTCCATACGAGATGTGGAAGGGTTGGATGTCTAGCAAACGGGTCAACTTGAACGTTCGACAAATGACGGCCACTCAGGCCTGCGAGGAGTCAGTAGACCAAGCTTGAAAATGGGAAATCTCGATGTCAGTAATATACTCAGATTCTTTCCTTGGTCCACACGTGGACATCATTCCATCATGGTCGACTCAAGCACAGAGACGTCGTGCTATTCCAATGTCCAAAAGTTCCCATGGTTTCACTAGAGCACTACAGCAAAGGTACTCTTAATAACTTGCCACTACCGCAGATGGCAGTGGGTTTCCTTGCAAGTTACACACATACCCTTTCCGGGTCACTAGCAAAGAAGAGACTTATTGGACTGGCCAAAATGACACCATAAAATTCCAGGGGAGCGCCTCCTACGGTGGTGGGTCGTGCTAGGTGAATCTCACTGGCCTTGGATATAGACCACGAAAAGCCCCTTGCACCAGCCTATGGGAAGGTTATGGTGATGTCTAACTACATTATCTAGTAACTATGGGTAACAATAGTGACGGTGCTGATCCAACAAGATTTCCATATACCGAGCCTTAAAGATGATATATCGTTGTTCTCTTCTGCCCGAATACCTCATGGGATGGCGTTCAGTAAGCACGATTTTCGTGTTTTGCTTTAAAAGGAGGTCCCCAAACTGTACAAGCTCTCTTGGTTGCTCTCCCATTCCCTATTTCTGGAAGAGGAAGAAATGGCTATTTGGAAGCTAAACACTCGATAAGCTGAGTATCTAGGCTTGGTTTTGCCAGGCATAGCATGTAGCCTTCCACAATAGTTGTGACCGGTATAAGACTACCCGATATAATCAGTTAACGCAGCCATGACCCTGTGGTACTATATCCTATCGATTGGGTATTTATCAGAGGATGAATGGTTTGAGCAAAAGGAGAAAATCCGGTAGATGTTCGAAAGTGAAGGAACTATAGCGCATGTGACTATTTCCATGATAGGCGGCTTAGTCCGGACTTCGGGTTTAAATATACTTTATCCACACCTAATTCGGACTATTTTACACAAACCTTATCGCTGGTTCTTCTCAGGTCTGACTCACGTATAATTCATGGCCGGCCGGATCGCTATCTTTGATACTGACCAACCTAAGAGCCCAAAGGCAATCTCAGTTCGTATATTCAGAGCTAGTACATCCAAGATATCGATATGGGCCTCGGCAATCCCTTTAATTACCTTATAGTAACGTGGCAACTTGTCTTTGAGAAATACATAGCTGGAATTCAGTGGCTTTACCCCGCACTATAGTCCAGCTCAGATCATCGAAGGCCTATAAAAGGACACGACAAAGCTAGATTAATCCGGTAACCCGGCATGCAGCTTTCTTATCCACTTCTTGGCCAATTTGCAAAGATAATTGGCGTTTCTTCCAAGGAAACTAGCGTATCAAATCGACTGGCCTCTCAGTGAATTCCTGTAACCGTGTGTCAATTTTCTTAACCTTCCGTCTTTTTAATTATATTGGATCAGTGATTTGAAATTAAACTAACTTGATACTCTCAAATTGTATACGTATCTCTAGTGAGGTCTAAGTAAAGTATGACTATATACCGTACTTCACAAGGCTCGGGTCAACCCCCGTTTAGGAAGGGTTTAGGCATTAGAACCCCTTCCTAAAGGGGGGATTTCACCCGAGCCTTATACCGCCGCGTCACCCAGAAACATATAGTAAATGCGATAACTTACAACGCGATATCTTAACAACAGTAGTCTACATACGTAGGAGATTTCTTGTAGGTTTCTTGTAGCTTTATTCTTTTTAGGTGTTGTCTAGCTTATCTAAGGAGTTTGGGAATTAACTATGCTTGTGATTGCGATACATCTATTTCTGGCTTCAAGTAACATGATGTTACCATGATAATATATGTTTTCGATGTTCTAAATTGGTATATAAGGTTAAAATCCTTATCAATAGCTATCGAGTGGTAAGCTAAATCGAATGATATCATGGTTGGGGAGATATAAGGTTAGAAATATCGGATTTACCATGTGTTTTACGGTGGACCACTTGGTGCTAGTAGTATAAGGCCCAGGCCAAGCCCCCTTTAGGAAGGGGTTCTAACCTAAACCCTTCCTAAAGGAGGTTTGGACCCTGAGCCTTATACCGCTTGTAATGTTGCCAAGCCAACACCAGGTATGGTGGTGTGGGGTTGGCACGATTACTCGGTGGTTTTGACCACTCGGCAGTGAAATACGTTAATCGGGTTAGAACACGATAACGATGATCTCCAACTTTGGCATGTCAATTCCACTACTCTTATCCACCGAAGTTTGATAGCGTTTACCCCGACATTCTGACACATCTTCTACAAGCCACGAGAGGGGGGACGACCCATCATCAAGATAGTGGAGATAGTGGAGATAGGGAGTATCTTATTAAGAGATTTTTGGGGCGCAGTTTTCAGGACCCATATAACCCCAGGTATTGACCCGCCTCAGCTTTCCACAAGGAAAGAGTTGTGCGACAAGATATCTACAATGTTCATATTCTCCAAACTTCGAGAGGTGGTCTGGGGAAAGCCCGCCGCCACCAAGGCGGAACGAAAGCTTTTGGTCAAGCTTGACTTGGTTATTCTATCCTTTTGTTGTCTGATGTATTGGGTCAATTATCTTGATCGCATGAACCTGAACAATGCATATGTGACTGGAATGAGAGAAGACTTGCACTTTCGCGGCAACCAATTAAACATTGCCAACACAGGTAAGTCAACGTGCTGGGCCTAATATCAAAAATTTCCAACTTTGCGCCTAACCTATGATAGTTTTCTATGGTGGCTACGTTTTGGGACAGGTCCCGAACAACATCGCGCTACAAAAGCTCCCTCCTCGTATTTATTTCCCGGCGTGCATGGTTGCCTGGGGCTTGCTCACTTTGGGAACTGCGTTTACTCATCATCCATGGCAAATCATGGTCATCAGATTTTTTCAAGCCGTCTTTGAGTCGTCTACATTTGTCGGCTGCCAGTATATTCTCGGAAGTTGGTACAAGCCGGACGAGCTCGGCAAAAGAACTGCGATCTTTACTAGCAGCGGTTTGGCTGGAACAATGTTCTCTGGATTTATGCAAGGAGGAATTCATCAGAGTCTTGGTAAGATTTGTCATCTTTCATCGACATTAACATCTTTGTACTAAATGCTGATTCTCTGCAGATGGTGCTAGGGGTCTTCCTGGCTGGCGGTGGTTGTTTATCCTGGACTTCTGCATCACAATTCCAGTGGCCATTTTTGGGTTTCTCGCCTTCCCAGATACCCCAACTTCGACAACTGCATGGTGGCTCAGTGAAGACGAGAGGAAGCTCGCTATCGAGCGACTTCCTGAAGTCAAGAAACAACGTGGTGTGCTGGGTTGGAATCTGATCTCGCGTATCTTGCGGACATGGCATTGGGTAGGTTTCATTCTGCTTTGGATATTCGGCAGCAACACCGAGATGTTCTCAAGCAATGCTATCATGAATCTGTGGCTCTCATCAACAGAGAAATACACCGTGTCACAAGTCAACTACATCCCTACCGGTGTAGCAGGTGTAGGAATTATCACCACCCTTTCCCTTGGCTGGTATTCGGACTTCACCAAACGCCCGTGGCATGTGGGGATTTTCCTAGCCTGCACTGCCATTTTGTCTGGAGCGATTATGCTGCGACCCCCATCCACCGGAGCCAAATTCTTCGCATTGTTCTTGAATGGTTCCCAGTACGCTGGCCAGACTGTGTTTTTTGCCTGGGCAAATGCGGCCACTGGAGATGATGACGCGAAACGAGGAGTAATTCTCGGTGCTATGAATATGTTTTCAATTGCAGTCTACATGTTCTGGTCACTGCTATTTTACAGCACAACTCAGGGCCCGGACTGGAAAGAGGGTAGCATTGCAATGATATGTATGGGGCTAGCCTTGCTTATCACGACAATTGGCGTCAAGTACTTGGAGAGGCGAGACAAGCAGCGGATGGAGGTTCATGATGGCGTTCAAACAACTGTCGGTACCAACGAGGTGAAAGATAGTATCGACATTGATAGGTCTAGAGAAATTAAGGAGTAGACATACTACTGGAGTCTCTATATCGGGCCTTTGCATTCCAATCATGGATAACTATGTAGTTTATGTAATCACTTGGCTGGAATTCCAACTGCACCCTTCCTAATTAGGACTCTGCCTCTTCAATTTCCCTTTATATGCCGCCAACATTTCATCGACTCTCTAGTGCCTGTCGGAATTCCTCACCCCTATTCTCACCCTCGATTAACTCCTCTATAAGCGTTGCCACCGTTCACAAGGGACTTTGTCCATTTATTAGTTGGAGAGCACAGCATCCGTTTTGCACTTCCGAGATATCCATCCCGGTGGAGGTACCATGCACCCACACCCCTAAACGAACCAATTGCACTCAAATAGAGCCAAAAATATGACTATCTTGCAAATTAAACCTGACTTAGTACGCGAATAGAGTGGTCAATACGTCAGCCCCCAACTAGTCCAATAACCCCTCACCCGCAGGCTAATAGCACCCACTCTTTACGGAAGTCTCCTACAATATTTCCACGAAAATCCCTAATCCGTGATGACTGGTGGATCCTGGCAACTGAAAGGCGAGGCCAAGCGCCAGTCAATTCTGAACGCCATCCCGACGAAATGGCGACTAACACATCCTGTCCCTCCCGCTACAGAGCTACGCGATGTCACAGGGGATTATATCCGACAATACCTCACCGAGCGTGAAATTGAGATCACAGAGACAGATGCTGTAGACATTGTGGCGCAGACATCTACCGGTCGCTGGTCAGCTCTGGAAGTGACAGAAGCCTTCTGTCACCGAGCTGCACTTGCTCACCAACTCGTACGTTCACACAGTCACAGGGCACAAGAAGGCGTTAAACCTCAGATACCCAGAAAGTGGCTAACTATAAACCAAACCTCAGGTCTACTGTCTACATGAAGTATTTTTCGAAGCAGCAATTGAAGATGCCAAAGAACAAGACGAATACTTCGCAAAGCATAAAACCCCGATAGGACCCCTGCACGGCCTACCAGTGAGCCTAAAAGACCAGTTTCACGTGAAAGGCGTCGAAACCACAATGGGCTACGTAGGCTGGATAAACACCTTCGAAGGGCAACAGGACGACCCCCGCAACGGCACAGAAGAAAGCGAACTCGTCCGCGAACTACGCAATCTCGGCGCAGTCTTATACTGCAAGACCAGCGTGCCAGCCACTCTAATGGCCGGCGAAACCATCAACAACATCATCGGCTACACCTGGAACCCCAAGAACCGCCTGCTGTCCTGCGGTGGCAGCTCTGGTGGCGAGGCTGCCTTGATTGCCCTCCGCGGGTCGCCTGCTGGCTTTGGCACTGATATCGGGGGCAGTATACGCATCCCTGCTGGTTTCAATTTCCTCTATGGCATTCGTCCTTCGGCGGGCAGGATTCCTTACCAGGGCGCTGCAAACTCAATGGATGGCCAGGGCACTATCTTGTCCGTTATTGGGCCGATTGCACCCAGTGCGAGGTCTTTGACGCTCTTGTTCAAGGCTGTTCTTGGACAGGAGCCATGGCTGTATGATCCGCTTGCGCTGGAGCTGCCGTGGCGGGATGAGATTGTTCAGGAGACCAGGGCGTTGATTGAGAACGCTCGGACTGGAGCATCGACGCTTGCGTTCGGCATTATGAAGTATGATGGTGTAGCCCTTATTCATCCGCCTATTGCACGGGGGCTCAGGGTTGTCGAGAGAACGCTGCAGCGGTTGGGTCATCGCGTCATTGAGTGGAAGCCTCCTTCTCACGCTGTTGCAGTTGAACTACTTGTAAGTACAAGTTGGCTTTGCGCGTTTGTTTGAGATTCATCACGGTTTTAACTCCTGGCAGGGCAAAATATTCAACATGGATGGCGGCGCAGACTTGAACTATCATATCGGGTTATCTGGAGAAACTCGAGCTCCGCAAGTAATTGGTACCGAAAATGGCGTTCAAATGACAGCATCTGAGATTTCGGCGCTCAATGTTGCAAAGCGTGAGTATCAGAAACAATACATGGACTACTGGCATAGTACAGCCGAGTTGACAGGCACGGGACGCCCTGTTGATGGGCTCTTCTGCCCATTGGCACCTCATGCGGCAGTCATTCCCAACGAATTTGACGATGTGGGATATACCGGATTTGTGAATGTGCTTGACTACACTAGTCTCGCGATTCCAGTTACATTTGCGGATAAGAAGGTCGATGTGCGATTGGCTAATGATTCTGTGAATGATTCTGAAGGCATTCAGTGGGATTGTGGGTTTCTCCCATGCCTTCCCTCTCGTGGTTCCATGCTGATCGCTGTATAGATAATGCCGATGCCTATGACGGGGCCCCAGTGGGAGTGCAATTGGTAGGCAGGAGGTTGCAAGAAGAGAAGATGTTGACACTAGCTGAGTATTTGGGCAAAGAGATTGCTCAAGATACGGAAGAGAGAGCCTGAGTTGAAAATACCAGACTATCTAGCGCGTAGTGCTGTTTTTTGTCAACATGACCTCACTATACTAGAGCACCTAGGTATCAATTGTTTTTAAGATGAAGCATTGGGCATTTGTATGGGTATTAATGATATTGCTATTCTCTATGAAGAATAAATCCAAGGGCAGACGGAGCAGACTAATCCACCTACTATTCCAAACAAATGCAGAGGATAAATGATAGCCCCTAGGCGCCTTGTCCGGTGCTTTTCTACAAATATTATGATCCAAAACCAGTCAATTCCTGGACGACGATGAAGTAGGCGTCTGTCCTGAGGGTGCAGCAAGATTGGATAAATGAGGCGTGGAAGATCCCCACGGTTTACCAGCCGCAGAAGGCGGAGGATGACCAGACTCAGATGAAGGACCAGATGGGTCTTCTGAGCCATTCATGAGACGCTGTCGCTTGGCCGGGGGCAGCCCACCCACCTGGGGCATGCCGCTGTGTAGCGCACCGCTTGGCGGGCTGCGAGGGTCTGCAAAAGAGTGGGGTGAAGCGTAGTGGGTAGATGAAGCAGGGGTGGAGGTAGCCGCAGCGTCCGGGCTCAAAGCCGTAGCAGATTGCAATGGGCGCAAGCGATTCGGGTGGGAGGTAGTGTCTTCGCCTGGGCGTGGTGGCCGAACATCAGGGCTTTGCTGAGACTGACTTTGATCTGGATCCCCCAGCGGACTGGGGTTTCCATAACCGACCCCGACCCGGCCCATGCTCTTATCATGCATAACAACACGTCTCCATTTAGCGACCACGCTGTCGTAGTCCCATCGCGTGGAGTCGGCACTGATGTGGCTTTCTTGTGCGTCTAATTCCCGCGCTACATCCCGTGGTAGGGGGAGCGTATCTGGGGGGAAGAGTGCGAACTCACGAGGCCACTGACATGACCCCAGGCGCTCGACCTGTGCGCGCAGCTGATTTGCTTCCTGTTGTACTCGGGCGAGTTGCTCGTCTGAGGACTTGCGCTTCTCTGTCTCGCGCGCAAATGCACGTGTGATCTCCAATTGCCACGCGTCGCGACGGGTCTCGTGGGACAGAGAATTCCAATGATTGAAGGCCAATTCTAAGTGTCGAAAACTGATATCCTCGTGCTGTTGTGCGCTTCGGTATATCATGTTCGGATCCACTCCGCTATTCCCATGTCTCATGTGAGGCCCGGCAGTCAAGTCTACTGCGAGTTGGTCGGTTTGCCATTGTGCGACCTTGGAGCGAAGGGCTTGGCGGAGTATATCGAGGTGCTCGGCGCCGGGGGGCTGCAGTGGAAACGAGGTAGAGGAGGAAAACGGATGTGTCGCAAACAGGCTTGGCGGTGGAGGGAGCAACTGCAGACACATGGAGGGGAAGGTCTGAGCTTGCATGTCGAAGTCGAACGGAGAGAGCCGGGGCCGGATACGAGAGCTAAGATTTCGTGAGCTTGTGGGTTAGGTATAACGATTTAAATGAGACGACAGACCTCGCGGCTTTGATATTATCAAGAACCTCGCGCAGTGCGAGCTCCAGCGCCCGCATTGTATCCGGGTTGCTGGAGCTAGCACCTCGACTCACATAGTCCGGTAGCTGTAGCGACCCTGTGCGAGATTGCGATGGCGCAATGCGAGGCCCATCTAGCACGCGACTAGGGTTGGGGATATCGTTGATCACCCCCGTCGCGTGCCAGGTGGGTGTATTGAACATCATGCGCACCGGAGTCTCGCGCGACTTCGATCCCGAGTCTACGGCTGTAAACGGCTCTGATGTGCCCTTTTTCTGGGTTCTTTCAGGACTACCCTCGGTCTTCCCTGTGGATGTTCGGGCCTGACGCCTGGTGATTCCGCTGCGAATTCGTCGGATCTCTTCGACATCGTGGATTCCGTCGGGTTTCTTCTTAAAAAGAAATTGGTCGAGGTGTCGACCCAGTGATGAGGATGTAAACGCCTGCTGGCAATATTGGCATTTGCGATCCTTGGAAGCAAGACTGGCCTTCGACTCGTCACCAGCAGCCGAGCCTTCGGGGGTGTCTCTGGGTTCTGTTTCTTCCTTCATGGTCGGGAAAGTAGAGATAGGGGGTAATTGGAATATGTAGAAATGCCTTCAGCTTAAACAGTCATGGCATATGATATGATGCGCCCAGAAGCGGCAAGGTGGTATAGGTAAAATTCAGCGCGCAAGGTGAGAGGGAGGTTGAGAAGATGAACTGAAAATTGCCAAGCCTTTGGGCGCGGAGCTGCGCGATGAGCAATTTTGCGGGCCAAAGCACATGGAGATATATCTAGGACTTATTGATCTCTGATGAATTATATATCGTGTGTAACCATTTCAATGCTACCTATGCAAGTATTAGGCTGTCTCTGCAATGTAACTAGGCCACTCAGCCAATGGACTAAGCAAAACTGATGTCACGGCCTAGGTGCATATATACTTTGAGCTAATCAAAATCAGGGAAATAATTTGGTCTTTCGGAACGGACTACAATAATCATATTTTCTTTATAGTATAGAGCCCACATATCCTCTACCTTGTCAAGACTCGGACATTATGTCGATTCAATGACACACGCAGGAGTGGACGAGCAGCCACTGAAGGCTGGAGAGCCTAGCACACAATACACTCATGTGCAGCATGGAAGACACAGTGTAACCACGTTCAAGAATGATCTCTGCCCTTTCTCGTCTTACGCTCACTGAACCAACGTTTCATGTTGCTCACGCCGTGCAAATACAACCAGGAAAAGGCGAAAACAAGAGCAAAGTTGAAGAATATATATCCCCAGAAGATTCCCTAATAGATGGCAGATTAGTCCAATGTCCAAGATTAGCCAAAGGAGTACAAAGCATGATACTCACATAACTCCTCCACTTGTGCGAGTAAAACACATTGAGGCTCTTTGCCTGGAAAGTGCAACAAAGTTCTTGTTAGCCGAGCTCCAAGTCTGGTAATCCAAGTCATCCAAGCAAAGAGAATGATGATGATTCGCAACTTACATATTGATCACCAGTCGAGTATTGACAGAATGAACACATTCCATTCCCAGCATCTCGGACATATCCACCAGCTTTTTGTGCATAAGAACCAGCATACTCTTGGCAGTTCATGCCAGCCGGAGCGCTAAAGTGGGCTTCTTCACGCTCAATACAGCGTATGGGGACATTATGCACGACGACTCCGAGAAATCCCTCAAGTAGATAGTGGAAAGGTGTAAGCCAGTACATCCACGATTGCCAAAAATGCGGCAATGTGGCATAAGGAACAAGAACACCGCAGAAGGAAACAATAAAGGTAAAGAAAGTCGGCACAAGCAAGCTCGCAAAGAGCTCATTGGGTGCAAGTGCGGCGATGAATTGGCCGAGTCCAATGTAGTATAGCTCAAAGAGCATCAGAGACATCCACACGTAGCCGGAACTGAACGAGTCGCGTGGGAACCAAGTTCCCCAGTACCTTTTGTATTTCTGTCAGATATGAAAGATAAAATCATTTCTCAAGAGACACTTACCAGCAGTTAAAGTAAATTGACCCGGCTACAATCGAGTATGGTAGTTCTGGAACAATTGTGCTCGTCACAAAGGCAGCCCAAGTGTAAATCTTGGAGTTAGCTTCGCGTGATATGTAAAGGCCTCGAAGATAGATATATCGCGGTTGGAGTTGCTGTATCAGTGGCGGAGCTATTGTCAATGTCATGAAGACAGAGAAGAGTCGTGATTGCATGTCGATGAAGCTATTTCCCAGATGCCAGAATGTGAAGGTGTTGAAAAGACCGGTAAAGATGTGGAGCATAAATTTACCCTGAGTAATAATCAGTCAACTCATTCAGGTTTAGTGGTTGAAATGAAGTAGCTCACAAGGATGTAGTCTGGGCTCCTCCAGTAAGCCACGAATGCGCGCTTGGTAACTGCAACTACTTGAACGTAGAGAGGCATTGCGTACTCACGACCGTCTTTAGTCTTCTCGTCACTCTGAGAATTGCGACGGGAGGCAATGATACCCTCTAGATCCTCAGAAAGCTGCTTGGACTCTGGCGAGTTGGCCCATACATTGCCCCAGTCCTGCCCCTTGTAATCAGGGTTTCCGGCTCCAATGACTTCCAACATATACTAGAGAGCATATCAGTAAAAGGCCATACTACTAGCTTCAGAGTACATACCTCTGCCGGATTTTCATGCGGTGAGCACTTCCTCCCGCCGTTTTGTTCGAAGTAATCAATCAGCGTCTTGGAGTCATTTTCAAGTGGCCCATTGTAAACAACACTCCCACCGCTTTTTAGCAGCAAGAGTTCATCGAAATTCTCAAACAACACGGCAGAGGGTTGATGGATTGTACAGAGAACTGCCTGGCCAGCATCTGCAAGTCGGCGAAGGAAGCGCACGATATTGAACGCCGCCAGAGAATCGAGGCCGGACGTGGGCTCGTCCAAGAAAAGCAACAGCTCTGGTTTACTTGCCAGTTCTACTGCAATTGTGAGTCGTTTTCGCTGCTCCTGGTTGAGACCTGATCCCACAGATCCGACGGTTGCGCCGGCGATGGACCGCATTTCTAACAAGTCAATGATTGTCTCACAATAATCATACTTTTCTTGTAATGGGACTTCTTTCGGTTGCCTCAACAGCGCAGAGAACCGAAGAGACTCCCGTACAGTAGCAGTAGGTTCATGAATGTCCATTTGCTCGGCGAATCCTGTCGCTCTCTGGAAGCTCTTTGGTAGAGGTCTGAAAATATTAGAGTGCATACTTAATGAAATACTTAAGATTCCGTACCTGCCATCAACTAAAAAGTTGCCAGTGACCACACCAAAATTGATCCGCTGTGCTAGCGCATTAAGCAATGTGGTTTTGCTGGTTAGACATTAGCATGAAGAACGGAGTCAACCTTGGTTTGTATCTTACCCTGAACCAGAAGCGCCCATTAATGCAGTCAGTCGACCAGGCTTGACATATCCTTGAACATTTTGCAACAGTTGCCTCTGTGCACCTTTGTATGGAATGGTGTAGTTGACGTCTTGCCACGTAAAGATTGCCGTGTTTTTAGCAACGTCCTGGACCTTGTCGCTGGATTCATTCGAATCGCCATCATTTTTTGTGGCTGCTATGCCATTCTTCTCCGCTGATTCCTCATCTTCACGGGGACCGGATCGTTTTATCGCGTCTTCAACTGCTTTGGGGGCTTCGCCTCTTTTGAACACCGTAACCGAACTGCCACCCTTATTAGGTCTCTGCAATTCCATTCCCAGCATTGTCAAACAGACGAAAAGAATTAGCCATCCGAATATGATACCGAAATTCCGCCACAGATGAGCTCTGCTGTAAGTGTACGCCGTTTGGATATACTTGGGGCCATGGACGATCAACTGGTCTGGATCGCTGCCTTGGATTGTGCAGGATTGATGACCAGGCACCGCATTTGGCCCATCGGGAACAATGTATGGCGGTTCGCATTTTATCTGGAGATTGTGAAACTCATTGGCCATCAATGCCTCAAATGCGTATTGGACAGGGTTGATCCAAATGAGCCACTTTAACCACGGATGCATTTTCCACGGGGGAATCAGATAGCCTGAGTTATGTTGGTAATTAAATTCGGGCACGAGGTTTCATTGCCTTGAACTCACCTGTGTACACAATCAATGCTTGTATGGCGACACCAGTGAGACGTGTGGCTGTATAGTGTTATTGGATAATTCTTGATTGGGAGGGGTTTCGTTTACTCACCAACATCCAAAGAGACACATAGAGCCCCAAGGGCACGAAAGAACGAGTACATGGTCATTGTGAGAATAAAAATGAAAAGCAGGTTTATGAAGAACTGTGAAGGTGTCCGCGCAAGGTTTGCCATGCTAAATACCACATCAGTTTGATTCACGGAAAGCATCCAATAAGACTCACAAGTATACTATGATATCAAAAAGAACGACTTGTATGAGCACAATGGGCACATCAACTACAACCTGGGCAAGTGCATATGCTGCTGGGCGATAGAAAGAACTGAAAAAATTAGTCCCATCATGTTCCTTTTTCTTTTTTACAGTACTCACAAGCTTTTATGTTTCAACAAGATTGGTCGACTGTAAAATGCTGCTGTCAACTCTGCCATAGCAAGCAATGAATTGAAAAGTAGTATAAAGAACATCACACCACCCCTCGTAAATACGCCATTGCTAGAAATCGTGAGCCATACAGAGTCTTATCGTATTTGGAGAGGTAACTGCTTACCTTGTATCCGGGAGATTGTAAAACAAGCTTCCAACAATGAGGGCTTGAAAGGTTATCACACTCCACTTTCCAATAAATGACTCTCTGTCCCCAAGCATCACCAGGAACTGGCGATGTGTGAGGATCATAACCTGTTTGTAGAATGAGATCGTGAAGTTTTTCCGTTTGGTGGTGCTTCTTGCTGCCTCTCTCTCCTGCCTTTGGGCTTCGATGTCACCCTCAAAGTTTTGAATATCCGCCAGGTTGCGTTGGTAAGCATCACTATTGCGATATGCAGCTTGGAACTCAGCTGCATTCCGAGGGATTCGGTCATGCCAGCCATCTTTGATCCGTCTTGCATGAGGGTCACTGACCGAAGTCAAAAAGTCGGGGGTTGTCCAACGCGGGGGGCATTTAAAGCCCTGTCGTTCAAAATATGCCTTTGCATCCTGGCTAGGTCCGAAGAAAGAGCATTTCCCATCTTCGATCAGAATCACCTTATCAAAAAGATTAAATAAATTCTCCGAGGCTTGGTAGAGAGCTACCACCGTTGAAACGTTGGCGGTGTTTGTTAGACTTCTCAAGCTTTGAACATACTCCAGCGCCGTGCTGGCATCTAAGCCCTTGGTAGAGTTATCCCAGCACTGGGTGCTAGCCTTTGTAACCATAGCTTCAGCAATTGAGGTTCGCTTTTTCTCGCCCCCGGAAACTCCGCGAATGAGTTCGTTGCCAACTCTAGTTCCCAGAGCATGTTCAATCCAGAACAACTTGGCTATGGCAGACAAGAAGGTCTCCTGATATTCCTTTCGGCTTTCACCTGAAATTCGGGACGCCTTGTCAGGAGTTCGGGATTTCAAGGCAAAAAGGAGTGTGTCTCGCACAGTCAAAGTTGCGTAATGGAGATCATCCTCGGGGTTGTACAAAACTGAAATTTTAGTTTAGAATTATGATCATAGAGACAGGTACACACCTTCGGACCTATACTGCTTTGCCATCTTTTCTGAATCGGTGCCGCCATAGCGCACATCGCCTTCAATACTTTCGTAGCCCGCTCGTTGATTGCCGAGCACTTTTAAGAAAGTTGAACAACCAGAGCCGGGACGGCCCAAAACAAGAAGCATCTCCCCAGGACGAACACAGCCCTTAAAGTGGGATCAGCTAAGGTAATCTGGCAGTGAGAAATAAACTTACAGTGAAATCATCTAAGATGGTTCGTATCGATGATTTCCCAGCCCCGGTACCTTTCCTCCCTCGAGTGAAGAGTTGCTTGATGAGCCGAGGCAACCCGAGAAAAATGTCCCCGTTGGTGGGTTGGAGGGCAGCTCCAAGGCCCACGCCCTTCACTGTGAGATCTTTCCATACCACTCCAACATGACGTGTTTTCTCTTCTTCGGAATTTGCTTTGCGCTCAGAGCCGAACATCCTTGAGATCAGCCTTTCTATCTGAGCCCATTCTTCTCCTTTGGTATCATGACCGGAGGCATAGCTGCGTCGGCGAGACACAGTACGTGCGACGCCATTATCATCCAACGCGGACCCTATAGAATCTGCCTGGGTATCTGATGGGGCACTGCGGATTGACGTGAATTCTGCGGGTGGACACGAGCTGACTGGAGAAGATGGACGCCCAGAGGAAGAAACAGAATTTACAGGAATGTGTTCTGCGTTTGCAGCTGATCTGGATTCGCCTTCCCCAGTGTGGTCATTTGCCATCGTCGGTATTTTCACGTTGAACCGAGACCTTTTGTGGTGTAGATGCTCAACCTAAATATCTGTGGTACGCGAGTATGAGACAAGGTGACCATGAATGACCATGGGTACCTATGAGCTGGGCGCGACACCTCGATTGGCGACAAGAGATACAAACAAAATCACTGCTCATAGATATCATAAATATAAAGGAAATGAAAATTGGAAAGACACCAGTCGGGAATGCAGGCATTACGTCAAGCATCATTGCGAAAATTAAATCTCGGGGGCTCGGAACAGGAACGCACCGAAGGATTATCCAGAACTATTCTCATTTGCTTGGTTTCATAGCTGAAGAGGCCTATAAACAGGTATAACCCTGTACAGTGAGGTCATCGCATTCAGCTCTGTTATATAGTCCGGTTCTTTTTTCTCAGACTTTTCGAAGTAATAATATCAATTAGAGCCTTCCACTCAGCATGAAGAATTAATTTCTAGGATATTTGTATTTAATAATATTTAATAATATTTAATAAGGTTGTAGGTGATTTCAAAATATGTGCATGCATAAAGATCTCCTCGTATTGCAGTTCTATCTCGGGTCATGAAGTCATCGATTGTACAACATGGATATGTTGTTACGCGGTTGGTCAATTTGGAGGCCACTGAGTCTCAGCCTTCTGTTCCTACATGTATTCTTTGGATTCTCGGCTTGAATAATATTAGTTGTGAAATTATACTTGCTTATGCACATCAAATATAATCGTGTGGATTCTATTCTACTGAAAAAGAGGCTTCACTCCAATTCGGATTCATTCGTTTTTCTGATACAATCTTTGCTCTTTTTCCTATTCCTGTCGGTCTGGTCCACATAATTCTAAATGAAACATAATAATGAAGCGTTCTCGAGCTCTGGCACCTAGGAAATAATGTTCAAGATGATAAGCATTGGAGGTCAGCTGCTTTCGACCAACGAAGCTCAATCACTTCGATTATTTGATTTTCAGGATCGTCCACGTCTTCTAATTGTTTGTAATTTGAGTTAACGCAGTTGATGGCCGGGGACAGAATGAGCAGTGCTGTCAACATTACCTACCTACCTCAATAGGAATATATAAACCTCGACGGAATTAATTCCCGACGACGTTTACCAACTACTCTCACTACAGCACAAGAAAACTCTAGTCATGTCAGTTTACCAAAAAGTCGTGACGAGAGTAATTTTATTATCATGGTCTCGTCATCTGGAAAGTCGTCGTAGAGGATTTCAGATAAATCTTAACTACAGCTATCAACGTTTAACTAGAGTTGAACAAATTGTTCATAGATTGAATATCTCACAACATATCTCAGTATTTATTGAAATACAATAAAAAAATATCTAACCAAGTTGCACTCAGTAGAGCGCATACAGGGCTGAGCTGGATATTAAGGAACAATGAACGGACTATCGTTCCCTGATCAGAAAGGGGGCAGCACGCCATTATTACAGCATGCTCCTCTCGAGTTCAGTAGTGATAAAGCACTAGATTCCAGTTTGAGAGTAGACAGATGTACCTCGCAGCGTAAACGCCATTCTAGCTTCTTCTACAGTACCCTTATTGCAGCTCTGATAACAATGAAGCCCCACCGCGCTCGCAGATTCCTCCGGAAGGTATTGGAGTTTTTCCATTTATCCTCTTCCTCCAAGCGTGAAGTCAAAGCCCACAACAAGTGGGTCTCCAACTTCTGTAGTATTCATTATCAAAAACTAACGAGCGGTTTAGTGCTAAGCTGTGGTGTGTTGCTACCACTACCACCGCACCTCCTCTTCAGAGCATTTGTGCTAGCCGGGGATGTGGCCAGGTTGAAGTTGATGGCCAAGTTGATGATCCTCCCCAGTATACCTTTAGGGATGATCCCCTTGAAAAGCCAGTCTCCACCCGCAGCCAACTGGAGTGTCGCATCGTGAAACTCTGGAAGAAAGTCTGGCTAGGCCTTTACCAGATCGATGACGACGAGGATCGATATCACGTCGAGCGACTCGAGGCACCTTCTCTCGGGGCCGGCTTAATTCGCACATACCGAGCTGGCGAGCTTCAAGTTCTCAGGCGGCATTTTCTTCGCAGCGAGACCAACAATGGCATTGCTTCGCTGAAGCTTTTCCATGGTCTGTCTCTTTCGACTCTCCTATCTGTGATTCACATTTTGGAGGCGTATGAAAGTGAAATTGAGAACATGAGGCTGCTCTATTCCATCTTGCGAAGTAGTCAGCTTGCACTGCATGAAACTGCTGACCTTGCTCAGACTGCGGTTGTCAGAACTGAGTACATGGCAATTGCGGAGCCGATGGAGAAGCGTATCAGACAATACGATATTCGAATGAATGTGGTGAATATGGACATCTGTGATGAGGCAATGGGTTTCTATCAACGACAAAAGGGTGAATATATTTATCACAAGGCATTCCCGCATGCGTGGTAAGAACGCGGTGTTTTGGATCTCTCCGTGCCTTCTCTCACTGTCATTTGTATTGGGAGACATTTTAAGTACAATCAGTATGATTTGGATCAAATATTTGTTTAATGTCTTGTCTAATTAATAATTATATTCATGGTGTTATTGAAAACTTGTAATATTTTACAAGGCACAAATCTATAATGACAGGACACTCTACGCATCCTTATGTGGGGGTTGATACGGTATATTCTCAGATCTGAGGTTATCCGCGTTCAAGAATCGAGAGACCATTGTTGGAGGTTGCAGAGCTGTATCACATAATTCTGGCCTTAGACATCAACCCCTTTCAGTCCACACCGCATCTCTGTAACCAATAGGTTTCCGGCGTGCGTTTCACTGCCCTCTATTTTAGTTTCATTACTCCGTACCTCTTGTTGCCAAGGATGTATCCACAACCGCATGATCTACGGACAACCGTCGAGCGCTTTCTCCACTGTAGTTGTCGCATCTAATGCCATTTTAGGCGCAATCCTTCAACAAATGGCGGTTTGGCCGAGTGGTCTAAGGCGATTGAGTACGTTTCTCTTCACAAAATAAATCCACAAAACATTCACTAACAATCATAACAGCTAGAAATCAATTCCGTTCGCGGGCGCATGTTCGAATCATGCAGCCGTCGTTGCAATCTTTTTGCCTCTTTTCTTTTTTTTTTGCTTGGGATCGTGTTATCCACATCTCAAACACTTTTATTTTTTTGAGAGTGACGAGTAGGACGGATTTTAGCTCCATTGGAGCAATAGGGCTGGCATTTCCGTGAACCTCATGTACATTCCACAACGCGATAATGGGTTAGTATGCCTTAGAAGGTTGTTTTTCCCACATACATCCTTCCTTACTGGTTTATTTGATTTCAAAAATACAAGAATGTTTTCACGGCTCACACCTGAGGTCGATCCGTCCTAACGGTACCCTTTACCTTTACACTGTCCGTCTCACCCTCTCCCTTTTTACTCTTGCCAGGTTCGTTCACGTATGGATTCATGGTGTCCCCATTATCGAGGCCTTCCTGCTTGAGTGAAATGCTTCCAGGTCCATCGGGTGGACCCATGCCTCGAGGCTATGTGAATGTTAGATATGCACTCTCTCACCACCCTGGATTCTCAAATGGCGACAATGCGAACGAAACCCTGAAAATAAAAGAAGGAAGAACGAACCTCATCCCGATCAGAAGATTCTGAGCTGACATTCTGTCCGACGTCTTGCTCGCCCTCTGATCTCCGACTATACTCTTGCCTTGCCCCGCGTGGCTTTGTAGAAGGCTTGGTACTAGGGCTATTTGTATCGCTTGTCTGCCATAGGTAGATTGATGTTGGTATCCCAAGGCTAATTGATGCTAGTACCCTATGAAAGGAATGAAGTGTAAGCTAGATGCGACCATTGCAAAATATTCCAAAAGAGAGACTAACCATCGGGAGTTCTTTGACTGGTCACTCGGCCTTTCAGTGGCAAAAAACCTTCGACTGCAATTCGGCCGAGTTGATGGAAATCCCACAGATGGGCGGATATGCTGTCTCACTGCTGCATGTGGAAACGAATGGCGGAGAAAGCTCATACTCAAGGTTCGATAAAACTCGAAGAAAGTGAATAATAGTATCAAAGCAACTAAGACATGTATATTGGGATTAAGAATGAAGGAAAGCTGGTGAACTAGAACTGTATATAGACTACCAAGGTGTGGTTTCATTATTACATCATGCGACTTCTCGGACTTGGTTCCAAACAGTTGTACCAAGCTTACCATTACGCTTCCAATAGGAGTCAAGGAACCTGATTATGAGCCTGATCTTAATTATGACGCATCTGGAGGAGGTGCAGATGTGCATCGTTATAGGTATGCAGCCATCCGGTAGGTTCGATGTTGTCTACTTCCCTGTACCTCGATAAATGGATCCTTCACTCTTTCCAGCTACCCAAAATTTATTGAATCTGTAGATCAATGGAAGTAGATTCGTGGTAGGAACCATTGTCTTAGTAGTATTATATCTGTTCACGGAAATCAATCATCTCTATTAATTCATGTCTGAATTTATAGCTCGGGATGAAGTCTTAAGACTAAACTAGTATAAACTAGTTCGCATTCGCGAAATCCTGCAAGGAATAAACGAAGACATTTTATTTTTACAATAATCGAGTTTTTTAAGTCAGATGGGAAAAAAAGTTGTTATACACTAATCATTCTCACAAACCGATCACCAAGTGCGTTTGCTGCCATAGGATTACCCGCAGAGACCAGCTCCCTATGCAGTGTGGTACCGCCAGTCTTTTCACGTACACCCTCAACCATCACAGCACCTTCGTTTCTCAACGTCGACTCTACTTTCTCAACCTCCCCACCCCACAATGTCTCCATAAGATTCTCTTCCGCATCGCTCCACGACGTAATTCTGTACCCGTTGTAAACAAACGACCCATCTCCCGCCTTTTTCGTACTCAACAGGGCATAAGGCCCATGGCAGATCACAGCGGTGGGCTTGTTCTCCTGATGGAAATACCGCAGAATTCGCCCCAGTTCAGCATTCCCTCCGAGATCTTGAAGCGGTGAATGTCCGCCGGGGATGAAGACAGCCGCGAAGGTGGTCAACTCATCATTGCTTATAGTACTGAATGGTCGGGGGCGACTAAACCCATTCTCGCGCTTCATGCGTTCGATAAGATCATATTCGCGTTGACGTTCGAAGATGTTTCCTGCGTTTGCGACAAGTGATTCACTGCTTGGGTCTGGGGCGGGTTCAAGACCTTTAGGTGAAGCGAATGTCACCTTGTGGCCTGCGTCGAGTATTTTGCGTAATGGCTTTGCGAGTTCTTGTAGGAAAAACCCCAAAGGCTGGTCGACGACCTTGCCAGCATCGTGTCCGCTGTTCCTTTTCAGGGGGAAGGAGTGCGCGTCGCTTAAAATAATGAGAACTTTCTTTGAATGCATTGCGACAGGATGTAGCGTGGGTCGGAAACTTTGTCACGAATTATCGAAAGGGCAGGTTACAATCTACCTGACCTTTTATATTTCAAGTGCTTCAAATAACAGAAGTTGCCCTACAATTACATCGGGATGACGTGGAAATCCCCACGCATTATAGCCACCACCCAGTGCATAAGGTTGTATGGTTGCCCGCCAGATTGCCTTAGCAGACAGAGATCTTCTCTGAATAGGGTGCTGAAATACAAATTATGGCCCGCCGAGAATCTAGTAAATGGGTCTCGCCTAGAGGTTAGGTGGGCTGAGAGCGGGAGTAGAGCTAAAAGTAGCAGTGGCGACGTCCGATCAAGGGACAGCTGGTTGGCGACGCAGATAATGATCAGCTTACCTTTGACCCAGAATAGATCTGACAGAACGCAGGGAAAGAAAGATGAGTTGACATCCATGTTGGGCTTTTCAGCAAGCAATTCCCAGTTTGAGCAGATATGTGTGGCCTGGATATGGGATGCGGCAGGTGCCGTGGTAGGGGTACTGGCAGCCAATGGATATTATAATCACAACAGAGACGGAGAAATTATGAAATATAACATTCTGCAGTAATTAAGTAAGTAAGTAAGTAAGTAAATGGGTATAATGGAGAACACAGAATAGATCTTGAAGGAAAACAAATTCCATGGATCACAGTGTCTTGTTTACGTGCACTGTTTTGTGCTGTGATCATGCAAATGGCATATTCATCCGAATGTGTATGTACAAGGTCTTCTTCCATTCAACCTTCCACCCTTTCCATCATTTTCTCACATGATACCCCAACACGTTTAATGTGAGTCCTCTAACTTTGCTGTCTCTCCAATCCCCTGCTCGTCACTTACACCGTTGACTGCAGCAATTGCGGCTATCTGCTGTGCAGCCCTGCCACAGATTAAAGCAGTTTCCTCTGCAAGCATCCCATTTTCTGCGAAATCATGGAATCTTGCTTCCCAAAAGTCCCATCTCTCACGGGATAAGCCCTCCTTGCCTGCATACAGAGGGCCGGGTCGTAAATCCCTCAAGTTAGGTAAATTGTCAAGGGAGTGAAAGATTATGTCTCTAGAATGCTCGATCCACTGCACGGCAGCGCGGATTTGGCATTCCAGTAATTCTTTTGCCTGAAGGGGCTCCTCTTCGAGTGCGTCACGGAAGCACCAGGTTGTCAAATGAGACCAATCTGCTAAGCCAGCCTGAAGCAGACGGGCTGAAAATGCCTGCCAATTTATCCATTTCTCAAACTCGGAGGCGTCATCCTTGGGGCTGGGGGCTGTAAAAAGATCCGTTAGCTTACATGCAGATAAATATTGGGCTGCAAATTAGCACGTACTGATGTAAGCTTCGCTCCATACTTCCATTAGACATGGAAGGTCCGTCCAAATTCGGGTTGTTGCCTGCATAAAAGGACCAAGAAGTTAGTCGTGAATCCGAAAATGATGGCGAGATATTTAATACCGTTTTGTAAAAGACAACTTCCACCCCCGGCAAGTTCTTTAGTTCTTTCATGATTTCAACCATTTTATCTTGTGACGGATGATCATGGGGAATTTGTTTCACAACTTCGCTGACTGTTCCCCAAAACTCCGAACACCAGCTTTCTGGATGCTCTGCCTCTTCGCCCTTTGCCTCGCGATTTATTGGAGTGAGTTCATTTATTCCAGCGGCGGCTTTGGCAGCTGAAACCTGGCTAGCTGGCTGCAAGTAGTCGTTCAGGATCATGAAATATTTCTGCTCGATGGTCCACGGGTTATCATCTTCAAGAGACGCAAGACGCAGATAGAGAGGTGCAGCCATACTGAAATTTGTTAAAAAAAGGAAGTAAGAGCTTTGTAAAGATTAGATTCAAGTTCGGGATCATAGCCTACCTATGATGTACACTGCGGGCTTTAAGCGGGATGCAATTTTATCAAAGCGGGGGATTAGCCATGCATATCAAGACACATGAAAGTGTTAATCCATGTGCGCGGTTCCTCCTATAGACCCCTGTGTTTTGTGTTATCTTTCAAACTATAGTCCAAACCGGCCGTATTATAGCACCTCAACCAATTGAGGGGAATGATCTCCACCTTTTAGCCGCCGCCACCATCACTAAGCCAGCCACTTTAATGTGGTAGCTCCGTCCAGAAATCAATATAACCGCTGCTACTCTTATGATGAAACAATGCTGTGTTCAATCCCCGTGCCTTACAGATCATATGAGACTGAAAATGAGGTCATCGTACCTTAAACTGTAGCCAGTTAGAAGTCCAAGCTTAGAGATGAGCTGGCACACTGCTGGTCCTTGCGGCGACATCCTACCTGGTTTATATTCACTTAGTCAACGCTGAAATACAGCACTTTGAAAAACATTGATACTCCTTGGAACCTTTTTCTGCGTCTTGCAGCAAGTCCATCATGAGATATGGGGTTAGTTCCCGGAAAAGGAACCGCAATAGATATTTTAATCTACAATTGTGTTTTATTTGAACTATAATATTACGTCTAGGAGTCCTATATATAAGAAATTTGTCAACCACTTATGTAGATTTCTCACCCAAGTCAGCTTAGAGATATATAGTGATAACACTTTGATACATAATTTAGGATGAGGACGACATTGAAGTCTGTTTTGTTTTTTAATCAAAACCAAGCCCCTCGGTACTAGTCATCTTGAAAATATCAGATGAGCACATATTCTATCAGGTCTGACATTGAAGTCGCCAATTATTTTCTTGGTACGGTAAATCACCTTGTTCGTCCATAACCGTGCCAAAGGTACCAACACCATTACCTTGTAGTATTAGTGTGATAGTAAACATAAAATGTAGAAATAGGGTATATTTTGTATGGCTTGCCCATAGAAAGGATAAATTGGAGATACATTCCAGTCTTCGGTCTCCGCTCACAACGGGCGGTGTCCGCGATGTCTCGCCCATAGAAATGCGGTGTCCGAGTCGGAGGTGCGGGAGCCCGCCAAGCCATACCAATGAAAGAAGTGCATGTACAAAGTACGGAGTGCTCGGTTTTTGATGATGGGTTGAGTAGTCGGTCGTAGATCATTCACATAGTGCAACATCAAAGATGATATTGATACAAAAAAAAATAACATGTGGGAGTTGGTTCATATAAAAACACTTCACGGTCTACACCCCATAAACAACCTTCCAAGGCCTAATCGATATGGCTAACATGGCACACGCTGCCCATCTTTTGCTAGTATTATGCGTGAATGGAATTGAATAATTGTAAATCATTACAAAATGATTGGGAGAAATGAAAGACTAGTTGCATGAACCCGTCCGAACCCCAGAAGTGGATCTTGCATGTCTTGGTTAAAATAGGGCTGGGTGTACTTGATTAGTTGTACATGGGAGAGCCAAGGATAGTAGGACCTCGGTCAAACTCCAAACAATTGGGAGATAAAACGATCCTTAGCGATTCCCTGTATAGAATTTGTTTTGTACATTTACAAATTGTACGGAGTAGCTGGGCCCGGCATTAGAAATTAGCGTACATGCCGTGCCGGTTATGATTGCTTATTCCCCGCATCCGACTCCACATTTACTAACCCCAACATTTTGCGGAGGTACTAACCCATATATTCTGCACATGTTCCACAATTGGTCGTGTTTCATTAGGTTTGTCAATTTAACAATCACCAAGGTGTTTCAAGATACCCGACATGGCAAGTGACGATAGGCGACGAAAGAATGCCCTCAGTTGCAGTGGATGTAGGCAACGGAAGGTGAAGGTAGGGATTGAAAATGTTCTTTCATATGCCTCAATTCTCACTGAAAATAGTGCGAGAAACCCTCATTTGGTCCTTGTCAGCGGTGTAGCAGACTAGGCAAGCAATGCCAACTAGGAGGCTCTACTTCGCGACCGTACTATCACACTTCAAAAGAACGATACGAGCTTCTGGTCTCCGTGGTTCGCCATTTCGTTTCTTCGGCTTCTTTCGAGACTGAAGACCTGCGAAAACTATTACACACTCTGAAAGCTCCAGTGGAAGGCTCTGCTGCTGCTTCACCACCCCCCGTTGTGGATACCCCAAGGGATGGACCGAGCCCGTGGCTGCCGGAGACTATCACCCAAATGAATACGCCTCCAGCCTCCTCAACTTCTACCTATCCTGCCAGTCCAGAATGTGCAAACAAAGATTTGGAGAGTACATTAATGGTGGATGCTATGAATATTCCTCGTGCGTGCATCATCTATTAACCCGGTCGCTGATCTGTGAAATTCACAAACTTAGGCTCAAACTAATTTGTGTGTGTGTGAGCTTATAGGGTTCAGTGGCTCATCCAGCTGCTCCAATTTGAATGCCAAGATAATTTCACATATGTCCAAAGATGTCGGCGGTCTGTCTCCCTTCGAGGAGAATGAGACTCCGCCGTTGTTTGATGGACAGGTGATCTCATATCGAAATGCAGACTATCTCCCAGATCGTAAGGCGCTGGATCAAGCAGCCATGCAATTTTTTGCAGAGATCAACAGCGTCATATACATCCTTGACCAGGATAGATTCCACCTTTGGATTGATGACGTATATGGTGGGAGGGGGGTGCGTGCATCCGTGCTGGTCATATTATATCTGGTCATGGCTCTCTGCGGCGAGGAAGACCCAAGTTTCCACATTGCTCGATCCTACATAGATGATTTGATAGAGGAATCGAGCCTGGAGAGTGTGCGGGCAATTATGTTGATGGTACGATTGACATCATTCCATGTCGACATCATGTTTTCATTTATAAATGCTGACCTATTATTATCAGAGCTTGTACCGACAAAGAGAGAATGAGCGCAGTGTTGCCTGGGCAATGCTGAGTGTGGCAATCCGAATCTCAATGTCACTTGGTCTTCACCAAAACATAGGCTATGTGCACGACACTTCCATATATGGATCGGAAGTTAAGCGACGCCTCTGGTGGTCGCTGTGCGAGTTTGACAACTGGAGTTCGTGCATGCTGGGACACAGTTCTGGCCTTGGCTGTATGGGTGATGCTGTTTCCCTTCCCTCACAGGTGAGAAATGTCTGTCTTCTATATACCGTAATGACGACTAACTGTAGCAGGAATTCAATACTACACCCTACACCCCCCCTGGATATGCCACTAGCTCAGCATCTCTGGGTAGTTTAATTGGCCAGATATCCCAGCAGCTGTATATCCAAAATGGCAATTTGAGAAGTAAAGAACAGTTGACTAGTGAGCTTATCCAGAAAGTCGAAGCATGGAACAACGACCTACCCGACCACCTTCGCCCAAATTCAGCATTCCCATCCTGCTTTGCACGTGCCACGTTATATTTAAACCTGAAATATAATTACGCCCGCATGCTTATCGGGAGGCCTTACATGGCCCACTCGATATTTTGCAACAACGGCCATGACGAAGTTTTCAAATCACGAGCGGAGACCTGTAAACTTGCAAATCGTGACTCAATCAGGATTTTAACGGAATTTTACCGCCGAGGTCTTTTATCGACGACTCTCTGGCTTGATACATACTTCATCTTGGCAACAGCAATAGTTCTATTTCTCCGTGTTGTCGAAACACCAAGTGTGCAAAACGAGTTAAAATCCTTTCTCCCTGTTCTGAAAATGTGCGATCGAAACCAGATTGCAAAATACGCTGCCGGAAGTCTCGAAAGGCTTCTCCATAGTTTGGAGAACGGCATAACGGAAAATCCTACTATAAATGTCGCAGATCCTTTTTCTCAGTCATCCAGGCTTGGTGATGGGGGTGGAAGCTGCCATGAAATAGACTTCAACAACCTGGGAGATCTCAACACCCTAGGATCTGAGTGCTTCGGCTTGGGAGATGATTTTGATCTGGACTTATGTGGACCTTGGAATACCCTGGAATCGGGGTTGTCATAGTACAATAGCTTGTGTTTTCAGTGCAATGCACGCTTCAAATGTTGTATACCCCATTGACTCTGTACATACCACTTCTCAAATGTATATTTTCCACTGAAGTACATCTCAAGCCTCATAGTCTATTACAAGCTTTCCGGCAACCTCCCCCCTGCGGAGTCGATCGACTGCTTCAGGGAATTTTTCAAAAGGCAATACCTCGCAGACCTCTCGCACCAAGCCTCTTTGAACGAGTTGCAACACTGCATCTGTATCCTCCATCGTACCCACCAATGTTCCTTTGATCGACAGATTTTTCAAGATCATCATAGTGGGATTCACATTCATGATGTGCCCAGACGATGCTGCAGGTAGTCCAATGCACATAATGACGCCCCCGATTCTAGCACCAATGTAACCGATAGCCGTTGGATATGCGGGGGGTGCTGTAACAAATACGCCATGGGATCCAATACCTCCAGTGAGACGAACAGCCTCTGCAACCGTATCCGGGAACTCTTTGAAATCCACGAAGGCCTCTGCGCCCATCTTCAATGATAGATCGCGCTTTTCGCTTCCTGTGTCAACAACAATGGGTCTCAGCCCAAAAGCTTTTGCTATCTGCACAGCTTGAATCCCAACACCACCGCCTCCGCTGATGATTGTGGCCCATGACCCAACAGCGAGTTCGGATTCTCTGATGGAGCGATATGCGGTAGCTGCGCTGCACATGGCGGGAGCAGCAACGTAATCCGGAATTCCCTCGGGAATCACCGTGGTGTATCGCGCTGGAGAAACGATATAATGTTGGAAGGTCCCTAGGATGCGCCATGAGAAAGTGAAAACTTCAGAATCTTTCAGATGATGTTTTTACCAGTAGCACCCACTCCGGTGAGGACCTTCTTTTGGCAATGAACTTCCTTCCCACCCCAACAAAGATTGCAAGATCCGCATGTGTTCCAAATTGGCTTTACGCCGGCACGATCCCCAACCTGGAATGTCTTCACATTGTCACCTAGCTTAACAACCACACCCGACCCTTCATGGCCAGCGGAGCATATACCTGATGCCGACATCTTTCGACCACCAGTGTCGTTTAACATGTAGTGGATGTCTGAATAGCAAATACCGGTGGCATTCAGCTTGATCAGAACCTCATCGGGACCTGAAAATTGTGAGACGACGCTATCCCAAGACCATTATTATTTGGATTGTATCACCTGGTACTGGAACCTTCACCGTTTGGGTCTTTATGGTAAAGTTCGGGCCTTCGTCGACAACCACAGCGGCTCGACACTCCTCTGGTATGACATAGTTGTTGGTCATTATGTTGAGTTGGATAGTGAATAGTGCGGCGGAGCGAGATGGCAATTGATCTAATTGAGAAGATAGGAGGCACTTATCTACGGGCATATAACCCTTTTATATCCACTAGAAGTTAATTTCGAGGTATATTAAGTGGTAATGCGGTGTCCGGCCCGCTCTCCGTCATCTGCTTAGTTCGGAATCCGCACGACTATTGCCTGATATATAGAGTAACATGACCTATATTTCATTGTTCATGAGATTAGATTACCTCCGTTATGGCTTTGAGTAGATATTCATGGTCAAACATAACACTAAGCATGTTTAAGTGGACTTTCCTCTCTCCGCAGTGTTTGTCCTGAGATTTGAATTTGAAAAGAGACTATCTCTCTGGTAATGCGAGGATGCAATTTGGGGGCCTGAACTATATATTTATTTGAATATCGAACTGTTGCAAAGGAAATTGCTGAGGCGTGATATAACAAAGCTTTTGAACAAATAGAATTCCTGACTTGTCTGAGATAGAGCGTTTTGGGGTCCTTGTATGTATTGACTAGCTTCTTGAATCACTTCATGTTTAGACTTTGTTCTAGTGGCCGTCTGAGTTATACAACTGATATATATGGGCTAAAATCAACAACGGATTTTCGATCGAATGAGTGCCTCATTCCGAGGCACTTTCCCATCTGTGGAGTCATCGGGCTATCCAAGCAGATCACATGGATACATTACAATATCAAACAAACTACGTAGTGAAATTGAAGAAGGAAAGATGGTTGGATCCAATTTTGGGGAGCACATCATGTAGCTTGGGATACTGTATTCCAATAAATCAATTCTCGAACAACGATAACAGCTGACAGACAAGTACAAGAGGCTAGTTTCCTGAAAATTCGACATTGGTATACCATTCAGTAGATCCTAGACTTGAATATACTGTTCTTCATCAGAGTACTGGGAAGGTGACTTCTTTGGTAGCGAATTCCTGACGAATCTTCTCGGTGACACCAGACATGTCACAGAGGTCAATTGCGTTATCCAGCTCTGTTGCCGACACCCAACTTCCGTGAATTCCGTTTCGAAGGCGGAATGGAAGCTCAATCACAGCAACGGGGCCATCAGTGATCTTTTGTGCATCCAGAATCAAGATGCACGAAAGACCCGTATCCCGCCTATTGGCGAGAGTGATCAGGTATCCATCAGCCTCAGGCGCTATAGTTCCATGAGTTAGCAGTGTCCCTCGTAAACAATAGATTTTTACTTCTAAAACACCTACATTCTGGATTGCGGGGGATGAATGCCACCTCGTGAATAGCAGTATGGTCTCCGGCAGACCAAAAAGTCAGTTCCCCAGTACCCACGTTGCACTTCGCAATCGCATTGTAGACACCACCGACGGGGCCGTTACCCTTGGTAGGATCATGCATGGCATAGAAGAGGGTGTTGTACGGTTTGCCGACATAACGATCATCAACTTTTGGCATCTCGCCATCGGCATCAACTAAAACAACAGGCTCGACATGGAAGTCGGTGGCCTTTGGGTCGAATTTCCATCGCACGTACTGGCTAACGTTTCCGCTGGCAGGAGGTTTACCACTCGCTGCCTCCATTTGGTCTTGACCACGCGGAGGGAAGAACCAGAACTATAGCAAAGTTAGTCGGTGGCTGAGATCAAGTAGTTCAATACGACAGACTTGTGCGAACCTTGTTAAAGTTGGTAAGTGGGGCGTCTAGATAAACACAACCATCCTCGCCATCAAATGCATTTCCAGTGTGTCCGTAGAATGCGTTCTTGTAAGTGAACCATCTGATGTCTTCCGGCTTGGGGTTGCGACGGGGCAAGATTCCGAAGGTCAATGGCTTTTCCTCGGCCCACGCAAAGTGCTTGGATCCTTTCTTGATCTCATCGAGGGGCTGGGTTTCAAGCGGTGGGACAATTAAAATCACCCAATTGTCGGTTGCTGCCATATCATGCATCATTCCAACATAGGGGGCGTTGAACCAGCATTCTTCCAACTTCTCGCCCTCCTTGCTGAAAAGATAATAGGCAACGTCGGTTGTGCCATCACCTTTAGCCTCGTACCCCATAGTCAACATCTCACCGTTGGTAGGATCAATCTTCGGGTGGGCAGTAAAGGTCGGCGCAGTGTATTGACCGTTGAAGGTATAAGGACCTACTATCATTTAGCCAAGTGACAAAGAATGTTGAGCTTAAAACCTTCGAGTTACCTTTTGTCTCCAAAGTGTGCGGGTCCATTGCATAGGGGGGAGAATCTTCCTTCAGAGCCAGGAGTTGCTTCTCAAAGTAGATGATATGCGTGTTCGCGGTCGAGTGGATCTCGTGTTTAACGCGAGGATCATCGGTGTAGCGGTTGCGGTACTTTCCGAAGACTGCCTGACGGGCCGCTCGTTCGATCACGAACTTCGAAGTTCGCACATACTTCTGCTTGAAGTCGGCGTGTCCATCCTTGATCCGGATTGCATTGATGGCACCATCGCCATTGATGAAGACATCGTCTTCATATTTCGGTGCCCAAAGAGCGTCCGGCATGCAACGATAGTAGGTACCCTGGACTTCCGTCGGGATTGTTCCGCGAACAATACAGTTGTAGACCTCGCCTTCGAATCGGCAAGGTGCCTCCGGTCCCTCGTAAAATGGGGTCTTCGGATAAGCAGCTTCCGGCTGAGGCGCAAGCTTCTCGGTAATTGCGGCAATATCAGACATCTTGGTTGAAAGCGACCTGTCACAGATACGGACTTTGTACGTGGTAGGAAGCGACACTGAATAATGTAATGAGTTGTTGAGAAAGAGGAATTTCCGTGTCTATATACACAATACGCGAGAAACCCGGGCCCCGCCTAAGTGAGGTTGATTGAGACGTCGTCCCACCACGGCCATAATGTTGATGTACGCGCCCATTGCGGAAGCCGCCAACCAATCTCAAACGAATTCATTCAACAGGAATTTCAGACGAATCCTGGGCGGAGTATATCGACACTGATGACCAATGTGGGGTGGAGATGAGTTCGATCGCTGGACGCGGACACCGCGTGGGCCTCTTGCAACAAAGCGGACACCGAGATTCACTTTCCATGTTCTGAATTGAGAGATACTATTTATTCGTGACGATTCCAGAAGTATATTTATTGGAAATATTTATTTACAATTGTACTCGGCTAACATTCTCGTCATTATATATATTTTGTTCATAAATCATGGATTCACGAGACTATGCATTCAAAGCATTCGGCGATGCAAAGCACATCTACGCCACAGCGCATTGGGCCAAATCGCAAACCGATACACCACTCGGGATAGCTCTTGCCTTCCATGGTGGTGGTTTCGTCGTCGGTTCTAGGAAAATGCTACCAATGGAGCAAATAGAATATTTGGCCAACGCCGGATTCGTTGTTGTTTCAGCCGACTATCGGCTATGTCCCCAGGTCTCGCTATACGAAGGACCTATCCAAGATGCGAAAGACGTCTATGCATGGTGCAAAGATTGCCTTCCAGGGTTGCTGAAAGATGATGCGAGCCTTGACGTGGACCCTTCTCGCACCGTTGTATTCGGCCATTCCGCGGGTGGTTGTTTGGCTTTGCATACGGTATAGTTTATTCGTTGTCTTCGCATAAATCATACTCATTTTGCTAACTTATCCGTCATTCCCCTTTAGGGTGCTCTTCAAGATCCTCCACGAGCGATTCTCAATTTCTATGGCGTCAAGTGCACAACAGATCCTTTCTGGTTTTCGCCTTTGCCGGCTCTTGCGATGATTCCATCACTTGACGAGGAATTCATCAAACAGGTGTACAAGGAACCAGTATCCTCGAACACGATGCTTTCCCTAGAGCGCGCGACAAACACCAGCAATCAGCCAAAAACCAAGGGTTTACCTCGTCCTGACCTTTCTGTAGCGAGAAACGCATGGCTGTTCGTCAGTCTGAAAGAGGGCACACAGCTCCAGGCCATTGTCCAAGATGGAGATTACAAGCGTATTGACACCGGTCAACTCCTTCTCGGACAAGTTCCCGCCTACGTTCTTTATCCACGGCGATGCAGATGGCATGGTCATCCCTAAGTTCAGTATCGAAGCCAATGAGAAGCTGAGAAGCCTCGGTGTTGAGACTAAAATCTTGCTACCCGAGGAAAAGTCTCACGGCTTTGATGTTGGAGTCGAGGTAGACGAACCAGAGTTTGCTCCTATTCGTGCAGGTCTTGATTTCTTGATCGAACACGCGAAGCTCTAGGTGTTCGGCTTTTAGAAATATTAGATCTATTTCCAACTTCCTAAATGTCATGAAATACAATTTCGATCTATCGCAGAGTTTCATAGTTAAGAACACCACCATTGATGATATTCGTGCATGAAATACTAGTTATCGTATAGCCTCTGCAATGCGAAGTATCGACACATCCTTGAAGTCGCCAAATTTCCGGGAAATCCCCTACTTGTCCCAATGAACTCATACATATGTATTATAGAGCCGCCTTTGCTATAAGTAGTAGGTTTAACACATTTTCCACCGTATTCAGCGTAGACTCCACTCTATATAGTGCCGTGGAACTTGTCGATGCCCGATGTTCCTAGCCTTAAAAGCAAATGCCCTTTCCACTTATCCATAAGAGGGGGCTCGCAAAGTACGAAGTTGCACGGCAAAATGAAATAATGGAAATAGTGCAGTATTCGGGTTTATAAATCCGCTGTAATATACAAAAACTAATTAATCCAATATGGCCTTGAAGTCCCACAATAATTACCAAGCTTAGATTCAATCTTCCAACATTTACCTATTATTTCAAGAATAATGAAGTCATTTTATAACAAGTTGTATGATTAGATCTCAATCGGTAGCTTGAACAGACGAATCGCATTCTCCCTACCCACCAATTCCTTATAGTTGTCTTTCAATTCCACCGTCCGCCACCATTCTTGACCTTCCTTGACCTGATCATACGGGGTATCTGTATTCTTGTTAGTAACGTTGCATGATGGACCTCTTGAGCAAGTTACGCACCTATCGAGTACAAACATCTCTCTACTCCAAGCTCCTCGATACAGAATTTCAACCCAGGAGTCGAAAAGTTCCCAGATGTAGTGATGAAGATATTCTTATGGAAGTAGTAGCTGTAGTCATGCAGCGAAGGGCGAGTAGCCTTCTTGCTAGGCTTGTTGTACCAGTGCGAGGCTCGCCAGAGGTTGAATGGAATGTTTTCGCCGAGATGCCCGGCAACAACCTTCAAGCGAGGAAACCGGTCAAAAACACCGGACGCGCAAAGGGCATAAATGTGGAAGGACAGATCCAAGTAGAATTGAACCCCAGCCCCAATCAAATGTAGTCGAGATCCATATTTGGTGTTGGGTTGAAGATCGGAGAGTTCTGGGTAGCGGGGATGCAAGTAAATTGGCACATCGAGCTGCTCCGCCATTCTCCAAAATGGATCGTAGGCCGGCGTATCATAGTATAGTTGTTTCTCACTCGTCTTCGTGCTTTGGAAATCGTTTATCAGCCCCCCAAAGAATCCCAATTGCTGGACCGCTCTTTTCAGCTCCTCGGCTGCCTGGACGGGATCATGCATTGAGACAGCTGCCATCCCACCAAAACGAGAGGGCCTCTTGGAAACCTCCCCAGCGAGCCAGTCGTTGAATCCGGTGGCAGTCTCTTCTGACAGCTTCTGGTCTGCAATTCCCTGGCAGCCAGGGGCAGTCAATGAGAGCAACATATACTCAACACCTTCAGCATCCATTGAGGCAAGTCGTCCATCGATGTCCAGTAAGCGCTGCTTGTGGGATTCCACCGCGGCTTTACCCGCATCTCCCGGAGTCAGGATATGCTGCGATTCACTTAGAATCCAGGTTGTTGCCGGGTCGATCACCGCCTCCTCCACAGCAACGGTACCTTTGAAAGTCATGATGTAAATAGAGCAGGGGCAGTAATTGGATAGTCTAGAAGTAGATTGCTGGACCACTTAACATTAAGTAGCAAACGTCGGCTGTATAGCTCCGATATCCTGACCACTCAGAGACTTCCCCGTTGGTTAGTTACGATATGGCTAGCTTTTATAGAAGCCCACGAAAGTAGACTGTGGGTGCGGTCCCCGAAATGAGAAGCCGATTATCCACACTTGAGGTCTTCCCCAACGCGAAGCTCCCGGTGTCATTTCCACCCTGCACTGGTTACGGGCGAAGCGGACACCGAAGCGATTGAGAATACCTATTCATCCAATAACTGCGCTCAAAAATTTAACACAGGCTCTCGAGCCCCGCCAGTCGATTTTCGATTTTCTTCCTTAGTGAACCCCCACGCGTCTTCTACCGGTATTGTGTGGCCCTGAAAAGCATCGACACGATTGGTATGAAACCGGGGAAAACCTGGGGATATGACCTGATCATGATTGGGTGATGAGAGCGGGGTATTGGTGAGACGGGTGTTTGGTTCCGGTGAAGTCACTCGGATGCGTGGGGATAGGGGCGTGAAGTGCGGAAGCCGCATTTTGTGGGAAGTGGCCATTACCGAAGGACGGAAACCGCGTGAAGATGCGAAAAGTGTATTTTTGCCGAAAAATGAACGTCGGGGCCATGTGAGGTCAAGAGGCGTGAGAGGACACGCGTCGGAATCCTAGTTTTGTACGAAACGGAGTCGACTGATGCTGCAAATTGAGAAAGAGGCGGGTCGGGGGCCCGGGTAGGTGTCAACGGTATCGCAGTTGAAATCCTCCACAGAGCGACAGTGAGGTACCTGGCAGTGGAAAAAAGCATCAAAGAGTTGCTAGAAGTTCTCTACTCTTTAATAGTAAGAAACTTAACGCAGCTACGAAAGGCCCATAGCTTGTCTAAAGAGATAGCAACAAGAGGGGCATCTATCACCCAGACGCATTGTATCACAGACATGAGAATTAAGAGGGGAAACGATGGAATATAAAATTATCTTTGCTACGGTAGAATAATACAAAGCAATGGGTAAATAGCAAAACAGTGTTTCGCCATTCGAACAAACTATTCTATCTTGATCAGGACAGACTTATGTTCTAAAAAGGCGCTGATGCTGTCAAGTAGACCTTCTCGTCCAACTCCGCTGGACTTCCATCCTCCAAAAGACAAGTCATGGCCAGTGACGGGCGATGTACAATTGACACCGACGGTTCCCGCCTCCAGCCCCTTCGCAAACCGCATCGCCCGGTTGATATCCTTCGTAAAGACTGCGGCATAGAGACCATATTCAGTGTCGTTAGCCTTTTCGAGTGCCTCCGCCTCGGTATGGAAGATCCTGATGTTCACCACCGGGCCAAAGATCTCTTCCCTCATGATCTTTGCATCCTGTGGGACATTCGTAAACACTGTCGGCTCCACGAACCCGTTCTTTGAAGCACCACCCATGGCGAGCGTGCCGGAATCTTTACCCGATGCAATGTATCTCTTCACAGCTTCAAACTGAACGTCATCTGCCATTGGGCCATGGTTTGTCTTTGGGTTGAGTGGGTTTCCCTGTTGAATTGACCCAAAGGCTATGTTGAAAAGCTGAAGGAATTTCTCTGCAATAGTGTCTTGGACATAAATTCGCGAGTTTGCCATGCAAACCTGTCCACTATTCCACTGAATACTGTTTGCAGTCTTGGCAGCTGCTGATTCTAAATCGGCATCATCGAAGATAACAGCTGGAGACTTTCCACCTAGTTCTAAAATCACGTTCTTCATGTTCGATTGTGCCGCAGCAGTCTGAATCAGACTTCCAGCTCGGGTAGAGCCAGTAAAAGATATCGCGCGAACATCCATGTGCGAAGATAGGGTTGCACCGCTGATTTGGCCATGTCCAGAAAGTATATTTAGTACTCCGGGGGAGAACCCCGCTTGAATTGAAAGCTGAGCCAGTTTGAGAGACTATATAGTGTTAATTATGAAAATCGGGGTAAGTGAAATATCCATTATGTTGATTAACTTACTGTCAAAGGAGCCTTTTCACTGCTCTTAAGAACAACAGTATTACCGGTAATGAGAGCAGGAGCAACCTTGCCTGCGAGAGTAACCAAAGGGACATTCCATGGGATAATGGCTGCTACGACACCAAAAGGCTGCCGAAGTGTCATGTTCACGAACCCGGGTGTATTCAAGCTAGACACTCCCTTGGCAGTATATCCAGCTTCGGCAAATGATTCAAATTTGTGCGCAGCTATTATGTTATCAACGTAGCCGCTAACAGGTCGCCCCATACAGACAGCTTCGAGATAAGCAAGCTCATCCGTGTTCTCACGCAGTAGCGCGGCGAGCTTCTTCAGCGGGGCACTGCGCTGCGTCGGGGACAATTCAGCCCATGCCGGCTGTGCTGGTTTAGCCACAGCTACTGCTCTGTTTGTATCATCGACACTAGCTTCGTAGACTTGGCTTTGTCAGAAATACCCTTTATTATAAGGGGTAAAGTTTGGTTCTAATCAGATTCTGACCTTCTGCGACAAGTTCATGGCTTGAGGGGGTGTAGATACTGAATGTCTGCTTGTCCGACGACTCAATAAACTAGCAGATATGAGTCATATTAGCTTTGTATTATAGATCCAATAGTTTTCCAACATACTTCTCCATTAATAAATAGTCGAGTCTCAATATTGGTCGGTTTGCCGTCCACGAACGTACTTGTTTGTGTGGAACCCATTTCTAGGGGAACTATCAGTTTGTTCTCGGAGTTGAATAATTGAATTGTGCTTGTTATAATTTTGGTTGAGCAATACCTTTTATGATATATGTCTCGCAATCGTCTGCAGACTGTTTCGGTCTCCGCTAGCGGAACATCGACGGCCTTACACAGGCGGCGGATATTTCGCGGGGTCCGCGTTTAAGAACAAACTTCCGTTAGCCCTGATGATTTACGACTTTCTTATGTTATACTTTAGTTGCATTTTGAGGTTTCAAACCCCCATTTCCGCGATCGCATGGGGAATAATCTATCTTCCTTCGGATTTGTTGTTCACTCAAGTTGTTCGTTGAAAGAAGTGAGTGACATCAACCCACATAATAAATTTCCTAAGAACAGCCTCACAAATTCAAGTGGATACAAATTCGGCCAAAGTTCGAAAGTTATCCTACCTGATACGAAAGGAGTGTCTTGAAAGGGACCTTTTGCTCAGTCAGACTATGGTGATGAATATAGTACCTCCTCTTTGGTGCCCAAAATTTAACAACGCTGAAAACATGTCGAAAGTTGGGAAACAGGTCAATGGTGGTCCAAAAAGAGTATTAAATTGAATTATATGCTTTCCTATCTGATTTTATACAGGATGGCTCTCTTGGCTATGGCATTGTGTTCTTTCATGTGAATTTACCATCAATAAACATATCTTAGGAGGAGAATGAGAAGGGGAGTAAAGTATATTCGTTATTTCACGAAGTAAAGGAGCCTTTGAGTACATTAGGTCGCACTAAATCCACCAAAAACGCCATATTATAACGCGCAATATCTTGTTACTCTCTGTTCATTCATGTGGATTGTAGGTCCAACATTAACTACAGATTAGATTCCAACTCCTTTAAAGCTTGTAACAGGCTGAGAATACTAAACGGCAGCTGCAAGGATATCTTTGATAGTGGGCTTAGAGCATTCCCCGACAATAATATCACCAAAGTGGAGATCAAAGGGTCCAAGTCATTTAAACTCTTGTCACAGTCACTGGAACTGCCGGCTTTATAGCAACAAAGGCATCATCGACGTCGAATCCAGCCAACATTTCCTTGTCATGATTCGCGAATGATAGCTTCAATCGATAAACAAGGAGAGCAAGGGTCAGGCTCATTTCCATGTATGCTATGCTAGAGTTGAAAATATCAATACGAGAAAGGTAGAACTGAGGGGAGGAAAGAGGGTATCTTCAAGACTTACTTTCGGCCCAAACATGACCTGGGACCATAGGAGAATGGAGAGAATGCACCTTTGTCACACTTAATCTCGGAGTCCTGGAGCCAACGTTCCGGAAGGAACGCATCCGGCTGATCAAAATAAAGAGGGTTATGATGAAGCGAGAGATTGCAAACTCCGATTTCGGTCTAAATAAACAGATTGGCCGTTAGAATCGTGAAGCATGTATCGCAAAAAGAGAAATGTGAAGGTTGGGGGAATTCTTACACCCGGAGGGAAAATACGGCCGTCAATGGCTAAATGGCCAGGGGTTCGATCGACGACTACTCGTGGAATCAAGCCCGGATTTGGTGGGCAAATTCTTAACCCTTCCTCAATGACCGCATGCAAATAAGGGAGTCCCTGGAGTGCCTGATACTTTATCGAATCTGTGGAGTCAAAGTTCTCACAAATCTCCGCTGTCAACTTCTCCATCGTCTTCGGGTTCGCTAGTAGATGCCAGATGATCATGGTCAATGCTGTAGACGTTGTATCGGATCCTGCAACACTGTACACGACTTTTATTAGTAGGGATATAACTGAGTCGGGAATATGGGCAGTTTGCACGAACAGGAGAAGAATTGCTTCACCCATCAACTCCCGCTTGTCATATGGCTCTCCAGTCTCCGGTCGACGAGCCTGGAGTATATTGGTGAAGAAATCGTCTCTCTCGGATTTGCTATGCATTTGCTGCATCATGGCTTCAACTGCTCTCTTTTTGGTGGGGTTGATTAATATCAGCGAGTGCAGAAATGGTAGATAGATCAACGCACCTGATAGACATAGCCCCGTTTGATCACCTTTTCCTTTGAATGAAGAACCTTCCAAATAGCACGTGGCCATTTATGCATAGTTCCTTCCTTTAGACAGGTCAGTTTGTCGCTTCACAGCTGGAGCAGGGGTCTGTTTACTCTGATGACCAACTCAACAGACTTTTCCATAGCCTCCAGAATACGATCTCTTTCTGGCTCATTGTTCAGAGTGTCGAAGCTTTTACCAAAGCATAGATCAGACAGGACGTCGATGGAAAGCGCACCCAGCATCACGGCAATATCAACTTTTCCAGCTGCTGCAATTTTCTCGCAGAATGTATCGATATGGAGACGAATCAACGGTTCCATGGCTTCCAGCTTCCGAGGTGCAAACGCTGCCGACAAGATTTGCTTTTTCTGTCTGTAGATCTTATCATTGGTTGTAAAGCTACTAGGCATTCCAGGTGCAAAAGCTTCGTAAAATGCAGACTTCAAGGCTGGTGCGTTTGCGGAATAAATCGCAGGAATTGCACTTGATGAATTGGTTGAAACCATGTTAGGTCCGATTCGAACAAAAGGCCCTTTTCTCTTGATCAGCTACTGAAACCCGGTTTTGGGTGTGTATAAAGTATGAATACCATATTTCTTGTGAAGCTCCATCAATTTGTGGTGCCGTTTCCCACCCCAGCAATGATATAGATGCCATATATCGGTTACTTTTGCGAGCGCTGGGCCCGGAATGTGGCGTAGAGGGTGAAAAAAGAACGACCAAATTACTTTACCGATCACCAACCCAAGCAAAGCGAATATCAGCATAGGTAGGGAAAGCAGGCCCAGGACCTTTTCTTTGACAGGAGAATCCATAGCCGGCAAAATGACAGATGACTCGGCCGATTCACGCCAACTAAAAAAGAAAAGTGAAAATAGGGGTTGATTTGACTTATTCAACCTCTAATAAAAGCAGGTAAAGAGCGAAACGAATTATAGTAAACAGCTCCCTTGCATATATAGATGATCTCATGTCACAGGATTGGACACGGAGTTCGCAGTTGTTCGGTGACCGCTACCCTCCGTGCTCCATCTCCAAGCCCCACCGATGATTTGAAGGCGGGATCCGTATTAAATTGAACCTCTAGAAGCGGCAGGAACCTTGAACTAAAGTCAGAGGGCTTTCTGTGACCGCATCAAAACCGGTATCCGGTGAATTATTGTCGCTCATGATTAAGAAAACATGTTATTCTCACTCATGAGATATATGTTCTGATCGGAGCCAAAAGCAAGTGTGTGGTACAACCAAATAAGTCGTGTAAAATCCCAGGCAAATAATGGACTATAACTTCATAGACAAGAGGTTGTGTTTAAGATTGTAATTCACTGAGCATAATCAGCTCAGTATGCTTATGAATTTCGCCCTAGTTAAAATTTAAAATTCTTCATCTTAAGATACATATTTGCAGCATAGTGAAGATATAATCCGTTGACCTACTCCGTACTGCAGGAATATTATGGAATTGACCGCAGTACATCTTCCTCGCTATACTGTGTCACCAGAGGATGCAAATAAGTCAATCCCTCATCTCTAGTGTCCATACCCTGTCAACCTCCTCATTAACCTAGTCTTGTGCATGAAAGAGCGATTGACCTTGCCGAATATGTCTGTATGGGTCTATTGATTAGTGATTTGTGGCAGGTGGAAGGGGTCTAATTAAACTTACACAACACGGGTGATGTACCTATGAGACACATTGTGATAATTCCAAAGGTCCTCAAAACGTCACTCGGGTCCTTTTCCTCTGCCCAGGTGTTCATAACTTGAGAGAACCCATAGAAGATGAAGTTCTTGGCTGTCATCAAGAGGATGAAGATTTCGGTGGAATTTTCCCTGAAGGCGTCACTGCCGCTCCCAATCGTTGTCGGCCAAGTCTATGATAACAGAAGAATTGGAAAATAAAATCATTGGTGGGAGAAAGCGTGTACTCACAGTATATAAAGGTTGGCAAATGTCATACCTATGGTTGTGCCACAGCACAAACAACCATGGCAGAATGCACCTAGATAATAACCATTTGGAGTTGGGTTGCCAAGATCCCACATGAAGACAAACCATCCGATTCCACAGAACAAAGCAGCAAAAACCATCATTGGAATGCGGAATTCAGGCTCATATGTTCCTTTGTTCCATTTAGTCATTCTCTAGGCGATTATATCCCCTAGCCATGGCCCGGCTATGCTGCTGCTCACACCTCCAATCAATGCTGTAGGTCAAATTTAGCCGAAATTCTCTCTACTCTTCCACAACGTAATGAATGAAAATGGAAACTTACCACCAACATAAAAAGTACCATTTTGATGGGCATTCAGATTGTATGGAGGAGGTGTCCATATTTGGGCAAGGATGTAGGAGATAGCCACGTAGAAGCCCTGTATCACTTCGTTAATCCACCGGCAGATATGTGAAGAGTGGGGAGGAACTAACAATGCACGCACCACCCACGGCAATTGACTAATAATCCTGGTTAGCAATTCGTACACAAGAACGGCGGAATATACCTACCCAGATCACTGCGGGGTTTATAATCACGGCAAATGGAGCAAAAACCAACCGCAAAAGGTTGGCGTCTGTGTGAGTTCCACTGAAGATCGCAATTTCTTGCATAAATGTCTTCTTCGCCTCCGGCAACGAGGATTCTGACAAATTTTCCTCATGACCATGACTGACACTTGCCATCTCTTTATCCTCCGCCTGATCCGCCGCCTCAGAAGAAATATGGCTTCGGGAACCCTTCCATTGAGTCTCGGGAAGGAAGAAGAAAACCGATAACAGTCCAACAACGGTAAAGGGCAGATGAATGATGAACACGTATCTCCAGCCAAGACCCTCGGCTATCACGCCACCTAGGATCGAGACTAAAGATATAATGCAGGTCCATGTCATCACTAGCAGACCAGTTCGGAGAGATCGTTCGTGGACGAAAAACCTTGAAATTTCCCAGTTAGCGACGCAAGACAGGCAGGAGCTCAGATTGACATACATATCACCCATAACTGCAACAGTCAGACTCTCAAATACCGCTGAGCCGAAGCCCTGGATAATCCGCCCAGCTAACAGGACGCCATAGTTATCTCCGGTGGTGCAACAGACAAGGGTTCCAACAAATCCCATGACGGAGGCGAAGATGAATTGTGGCCGTTTCCCGTATTTATGGGCCAGGGCAGAGCCAATTGGTCTAAATGTGTATTAGCTGAATGTAGAAGTGAAGAGATATGTGAGACGTACCCGTAACAAGCACACGCAAGCAGTTGATATGCGGTGAGCATTGTAACATCCTCAATAGATCGCCCAAGGGCGTGCGACATCAAGACCATAGATGGAGCAATCAGGGCGGTGGAATGGATGAGAAAATAATCGAATTAGAAAATAAGACAATATATATCAAGTTCTTCTTCCATTGCGGCCAATTCTATTTGAAGCTTTAGTTTACTTATCCCACTACCCACAGGGAATCACATACCAATGGATCATTTGGGCTGTTGGAAGGCTGAGGAATTAGGACAACGGTTGCATGCTACTTCTTTCAGCATGGGTTTCACGTTTCAATAATTATTCTTTCTGGAATTACCTTTCCACTCCCATACCTCATCTGGGAAGAGAGATGTGCGGATGGCTCATCGAACAAGAGAAAGGTTCCAGGTGCATGGTGCTCATTCACTTGTATGATGCCTAGAGCCATTTTGTATGCTATCACATAGATATGCTCGGGGTATACTTGGTGGTAATGTTCGATTCACAAATTAGAACTTATTGTATCCGCTCTTGACACTCAGGGAGCGCTCTTTTATATCCTCACCCCAGCATTAAAGTTTTTCTGGGGAAACTATTGCGGGGAAGCTTAGTATGTATCTATTTTATTTGGTTTAAATTCTAGATCAATGCACCAAGACTGACGACACTCTGTTAATGGTCCTCTGTCAACCACTCTTCGGGGCAATTAGATCTAGAACGGGAATATAGCAGGATGGTTCAATTTATGTCCTACGCATATTAGTTATTATTTTTTGCTGCACACTCAATGAGATTTGGACTTGCTTTGTATCTGTATATAAAATAGGCTGATATTAACCATAGTACATATCCTCAGTGCCCACTCTCTAGCTGGTGATTTTTACAACCCCATACAGTAATGGCGGTCCGAGTGTGGGGGATCCGGCTGCATATCAATCCCAACTGCCATAGTTTATATCCAACCACGGCAAATATAATGTTTTCCGAGCCATGTCAAGGCTGTTTGGAAATAGGGAGGGCCCCGGAAGGCGAAGTGAGCGGTGTCCGAGGGGCGGTGTCCGAGGGGGCGGCATACGCCCAGACCCAGGAGGAACATCTAGATCGTCGGTATATGCTAATGTTCAAACCCGTGTCTGGGCTGTAAGAGAAAACGAAAATGAAAATGAAATTTCCGCAAGGTACGCCTGTATTTTCTATCCTGCTTTAAGCAAACTCAAAAGAGGCGCTTCGGGGTTTTTGATCGACATACGTAGGACATAGGAAGAGAAATCTAGGCTTCCAGATTCTATTCGCGTGGGTAAAACCCTGGAGCTACTTTGGCGGAGGGCCTTCGAGCGTGAGTTCGAATCTCACAGGTGTCGTCTTTTTTTCTTCGGTTTTTTATTTTTTGTTTCAAGATTTGAATCACACAACCCAACATTCAAATGGTGCTATGTTTTATACGGATTTTATTAAATTATATCCGACGTTACGATTTCAGATCCAGAGGAAAGAGGCTATCGCGCGACGAGCTAGTCTTAAAATTGGTGATTTCGACTATTTTTCAAAATTTCTAGTGACCTCCTTACATGATACGCTCAACCTTATAACTGAGCTAATGTTGAAAATGAAGGCAATGCCCCACTACATTTTTTATTCAGATTGTTAAGGCCAAAATAGCAAAAATTAAAGTTTCACAGTGGGTTCCAAAGAAAACAGACATATTTTTCCGATTTTTCTCCGTACAAACCACCGTTATCACAGAGTGCCAAGATCCACCAGCATTCAAGAAGAGATAACACCTTTTCCACTTTGACTGAGAATATTATGGAATAATCCGAGTAACGCGAATATGGATGCTAATAAAGTCTTGTGATTATAGGAAAAATGCTGTCGAGCTATAGAAAAACAGGGATATCAAAATATCAAACAAAAAAGAAAATCAAATCATGGCTGACGAGCATTCTTCAAAATAAGTTCGGTTCCTTCCAGCCAGCCAGAAGAATTCGCCATATCCAAAACCGTCGTACCAGTCTCATCTTTCTGAGTAAGATCAATCTGGCCACCCTTCTCAATCAAAAGGTGCAACAACCGAAGATTGCGGTCTTCAATGGCCTGCATGATCGCGTTCCAGTCGCGGTAGCATTTATTAGGATCAGCGCCCCTTTCGAGAAGGAACTCAATCATAGTGAAGTCACCATCGTCACATCTCCGGATCGCCTTGACGAGTGGCAAATGCTCCCCAGGAGCATTGGGGTCGGCACCAGCCTCGTTCAGAAGATAGCGCACAATACCCCAGTGGCATTCGCGCAGTGCTGTTGTCAGTGGCGAGAACACGCCGCCGTTTTTCCACTCTACGCTGGCGCCGGCTGCGACGAGTAGTTTGACGTTTTCAAGTTGGTTTGCCTGTACCGCTTTCTCCATGACACCCTTGTGTGCGGAGAGGCCGGTTATCTTGGGCAAAATAAGGCGTAGCATGGTCGGCGATTGAGCCGCCATATATATGGGCCAGTCCTTGCCGCGTAGGTTGGGATCGGCACCATTTGCCAATAGCCATTCCAGCATTTCTGGACGATTCTTCCGGATGGCAGTTGTGATGGCTGTGTGGCCCTCCTCATTACGGTCGTTTGGATTGGCGCCTCCTTGGCTCACAAGCCAATGGAGAGCCTCCGGATTGTTTTCCTCCACGGCGGACTCGACAATACCTGGTGGTTTGCGGAGATCTGCGCCAGCTGCCACCAAGTCTGGGAGGAAATGAAGACGTCTGTGGGTGATACACTTCCAAGCTGGCCACTCAGATGCCATCACATTAGGGTCAGCACCGTGATGGAGAAGCAAGGTGAGGATATCTGGGCGGTCATCACGGATGGCGGAGCAAAGTGGTGTGTATATTCCATCTTTCTTGGAATTCGGGTCCATACCCGCCTGCAGCAGGACGCGCACAGCATCGATATTGTTGACACTTGTCGCTTGCTCCATAAGACCAGGAGTCTTTTTGACATCGGCACCCCACGCGAGCAGGATGCGCAAGCAGCCTGGGCGGTGGACAGCGGACCAGAGGACGTGCTCAGGTCCTGGCAGGTTTGGATTAGCGTCCTTATTTAATAAGGCTGTCACTATAGATGGCTGATCACTTTGTACAGCTTCGCATAGTGCGGTCTTGCCATGGTCGTCTTTGCGATTGGGGTCGCAACCGGAATTGAGCAAGGTTTCGATAGCCTGCTGCGGTGCGCGCTTGCGAATCGCTTCGATAAGTAACGTCGTGCCATCACGCGTCTCTTCATTCAGATTGATGCCGTGTCCCAACAGACTCCGCGCTGGCCTGGCGCTGGCGGCATCGTGATCCGAATAGCTGTCATTGCGGAGGCTGATCTCCTCGGCAGAAGCTGATGTTTCTGTTTTGGCCGGCCGGCGCGGCAGTGCCCGGTGGTCGAAATAGGGTATTTTCTCGGTCTCACGAGACTGGGGGTTCAGGAAACCGTTCAAGGACAGAATGGAGGACATGTCATCCGGTATGATTTCTGGTTCTTGGCGAATGGATTGGTTGAGTCGGGATGCAGAAAATGATTCCTTCGGGGGCACAGACGGCGTCGACCGCGGTGAATCAGGCGACTGACTCTGCATCGATGAAGATCGCTCAGGTTCGAAAGACTTGACCTTGTTTATACCCATCACAGAGCGGCCTTTGGATACACGGTCGAGCGCGGCCGCTAGGCCAGCGTATCCAATGCCCACAGACTCCTCCGGGTGCGCGTCTGCGAGCGACCAGTGAAATGCCATACCACTAATTTGGAGAGTTTCGGTGGTCTTCTTCAACGACTCATGAATGCGATTGAGGTCATGGCCTGGCCGATTCCATCCTCGCTGAAGTTTTCCAAGTGTCCCGCGATGTTCATACTGAACAAGCTTCAAAATGACCTTATCAAGTTGTTGGAAGTCGCGGTAGGTGGAGACGAATTTCTTTTCCACCTCCTCAATTATAACATCGGGTAGGGCGCGATTGGCGCCGGCTAGTTCGGTCACTCCGGCTTCGATAGCCCATAGCATGCGACAGGTGTCGAGAAAGGTATGCGAAAGATCGCGAAATCCGTCGGGAAGGTCTTTAGTAGTGCTGAGGTAATTGAGCATGTGCACAGAGATCTGGTTGCCTAATTGCGTGGCAAGAGCCGAGACGCTACAGATGGTTTCCTCTCGCGTGGGCGGCATGATTGCAGTGTGTGGTTTACCTAGATAGAGAGGAAAGAGAGATACATAAAGGAGTCAAGAAAAGAGAGTGGAGTTTGTCCAGATAAACATGGGGGGGGGCAATCTGGCCCGGCCAAAGTTGGGGCCAAATCCTCCATCTATACAGTGGGGCTCGTTCTCCAAATCAGGGTTAAAAGCTCGGTCGAAATTGTCGCGCATCTCGATCTGGGGTGTTTACCATGGGTTTGTCTCCATCAGGGCTTATTGAACCCATGGTTCACCTGGATCATTGTCTCTGGCTGACCTCCGAAGTCCAGTTTGGGTATATATAGCCTTGGAATCACCCAAATGTTTGTTGCATTACAGCTTTGTCCACGCGTTTAAAACTGTTCAAACATCTGAAAACAGGGAATTAAGTTATCTAATACCTCCGTAGGGACACCGAAAAAACAGACTTCTCCTTGGCCTCCAGTGCGAGAATGGAATGTGGGTCCGGATAAGTGATTAAATGCAGGTGATCGCTGTAACTAGTTGAAGCACATACATTTACAAATCGGAAGAACAGTACAGTACATCATCTTGAAATATATTGACAGTTGCCCTAGACGCGCATGATAAATGTCTTCTTCAGCGTCAATTGAACGTATTCTCCCATTCCACTCCTATGTAGCCATCCATGGCGGCCTCATACGATCCATGGATCAATTTCCCGCTTATGTAGCCTTTTTGGGTTTGCCGCGCCCCGCTTAGCTTCCCATTGAGTTTCTCGGTTTTTTTGAACGGTTTAACAAGGGACCAAGATGTTTCAGAATTGATCCGTAAATTTTGCCGCCCCTGGATGATTTCGAAGCTGAATCTGAATATTGAGTACGGAGTACCCCGTACAGCTTCATCGCAGAACTTAAGACGCATGTTTCACAGCCCCATCTTAAACTTTTTTGTTTCACAAGTGTATCGCAGTACCCAGGTCGGTGTTCTCAGCCAGCCATAACTGTGGGGCTCACGTGTATGGCGGGTTACAGCTCTGTGTCCCACCGTACACGTGGCTACGTAGATCACGATTCTGAGACACAATCCATACTTTTTGAGTTTCTATGATACATACCCGACGCCCCACCTATCGCTAGCTAATTATCAAAAAGGAAGTCCGTATGATATGGGAATTGCTAAAGTCCTGATGCGCCCTAATCGTGTCTTGAGCCCTGCTGGGCCGATTACGTTGTGCAAATTCTTCAAGCATACCACGCACTCTTTTTGATAGAGAATCTATCCATTTAGCTCAGGTTACCGACGTTGAACGTAATTCTCAATTGACTCTGAAGTTGCCCATGACTCCACCGGCAAGACCACCACATGTCTACGGAGTGAGAAAAATCAAAATGTCGGGGACCTTTATAATAATATCATGCATTAGAGCTGGTAGCCTTAAGAGGACACTTGGGTACGGTGCAGAGAATACTAGCGAGAGAGCAACTTCGCCTTCGATCATATCATTTAGGTCAAGCACTATTGGCAGCGTCTAGAGATAGCGAGCCGAGTTTGATCTAGTCAATCATAATGGTTGAATTTGATATCCGTCCGTATATATAGGGGTCGCTGGAGCGTGCAGCGAGGTTTACTCATTTGTACAACATAAATCGTCAGGATACATACTCCTTAAATGGGATAAAACCTAGCGCTCTCCGGGTAGCTTTCTAGTGGAGCTTGCTCATCCATGTGCGTCCTAGTGGCAGAGTTAGTTAAGACCTAAACAATTTATAAGATAAGATGACCGGATATTAGCTAAGAGCGGCTTTAAAGATATGCTAAACACATACTCCGTACTCCGTATACTTCTTCGATATAACTATAGTCTCCTAGTAAGAGATGCAGATCTTATTCTAGCTGCACTGGTGCTATCTCGTCTTTCGAGATCGTCAAGGAAGATAGCATTACAATGACTACGTGAACGCGGTATAAATATGCTAATCACACAAGAGGCAATCGGCTCCATCAGCCGTTTTCATGATTCCAGAGATAGGGGTTTGAAGACATTTCTACAACGTGTAAATTGGGTGGAAATTATAACACAGATACTCAAAAGTCTCGAAACAATAGAAATTTTGGAAGTCCCACTCTAATTCCAACTAGAGTGTGAAACCAATCCACAGGTCTTCAAAGAGAAGGCAGGTCCCACCGACAGTACCATCACTTCTCCACTGACTGTGAACTTTAACAAATTACCTAATTAGAACTAGTTTTGTATGCTTGGTGCTGCCACAATAAAATATGTGTTTTTATATTTCTACTTTATTATTTCTCTACTCCATTCTTCTCACTGTGTACGCACACTAATTTACTACCACACATATCTACCGGTTAGAGGCGCGTCCTTAACCAGTAATAATATGTACTTATATTTAGACTTCCGTAAAGCCCAACTTTGGGCCCAGACCTTGGGCTCGAAACTCGTAAGCGACCTTATTTCGAGCTCGTCTTATGTAAGTTTATACAAATTCTTCATAAAGGTTACTTGTTTAGGATATTTTATGCACAATTGAGGGCTTTTTCTAAAAAAAAAAAGCTCACGCGGACCTACTTTAATGGGTCGAGATCAAGCTTTGCGGAAGTCTTCACCCTTCAAAATGTAGGGATCCTCGCAGAGCGAATCCTTGCCAATTAAAGGGGTTTCTAAAGAAGTGAGGATCTTCCAAGCTGGAGGCATTTTGGAGTTATGTGATATGCCATGATGTTTAAAACCAGCAGAAAATGGCGGGATATAGAGTTGAGCCAATGAAATTAACAAAACATGTGGACGGTGGGCCTAAAAAGCAACTTTGCAAAGTAAAGTTCGTAAAATAGGGGGGTACTATACCTAATTAGGCAGCCTTGCGCTCTTCACTATGGCAAATTAATCCGGGAGCGTAAATTCTTCCAAAGTAACCGGTTATATCCTCGTTCAAATCACTTGCCAGAGTTCATCACGAAGGGCCTAACCTTCTCAAAAATTCTAATTGATCAAAGCCTATAGACGANCTTTTTTTTTTTTTTTTTTTTTTCGTTTTTAGAGCAATTTGAGGGCTCTAGAAAACGTGGAAATGAGATGGTGGATCTTCTCTAAGCCCCACTCGATCGCGGTCCAGGTTAAAGAAAATATAATTATGGCTGTCCCACCTCCTGATCAACTACGGCTACTTGTTTCCCGTCGTTATCACTATGCTAAAGATAATGTGCTAGCGAGCGTGTTCTCGGACGGGGTATAGAACTGATAACCCTACGCTTCTAAATGTGTTTTTGATCACTATCCAGCTTTTAAAATTGGCCCTGAGACTGTTCGCACCTATGTAAAGAAGGGAAGACTTGAGTGCTTTGAAATCCTTTGAAGCAGGATCGACATTTATCTTTGCGTTCCGATTTCTGTTCCACATTACTTTCACTATCAAACTTACAGAAGACTAAGAGACGTGCGTCCACTAGTTGAACCGCTTTTCCGATACAACAAGATAGTCAATTTTAGATCAGATGATGGAAGAGATATTAAGGAGCTACTGCAGCTTTAATCGGATAGTAACCTCGAGAGCCTTGTTCTGTGTCTTGAGAGGAAATATTAATCTCCAAGAGATGAGGAACCATGTAGCTAGATTTGAGATACAGCGAACGCCATCCAATCACATCACAATCCATGCCGCCTAAAGCTATCGTTGATTCTGGCCATCGTCACCTGCGTGGCGCAACATTAAGTAGCTCCCTCCGTGAATAGCTGTTCAAGGTATGGTCAGCGACCAGTGATTGAATGATACTCAGACTTCGTACCATTTCTATAGAAGCACCTCCAATTTGGTGACCAATACATACGACCAGAGGGTGTGAAGTGCGGATGTTCTAGTCAGAAGGGGCTGACAATCCTTACTAGAGATGAAGATGAATATCTCTTGGTTTTATCTTGAAATATCTTCTGTTATGGAATTCCCCTTAACTGACATACAGGGTATCCATGAGGCTTTCACTCGATGACAAATTATAAACATTGAAATCCTGACAGAAATGCTGCTGAGGAAGACATTAAAAGACATGATCGTTACATTGAACATAGAGAGTGATAGAAATTTTCAAGAAAGCGAGTCAATGCCTGCTCGCTTCACATGATTGATGATAGTACTGCATGTTTCGTGGTAGCGAGCTTCAGTAATATTCAGCTGAGGATCACTGATAGCATACAGCTCTTTTTCTTTAAGATCAATAAAAGCCTCAAGCGCCAAGACGGTGGATAATTCCCGGAGCATGATACAGAGAGCAAGATACGGCGTAAACATGGCACCCCGAGCATTCGCGACAGAGAAGTTATCCTCCAGTGCAGAAATGAAGTCACTGGTGCTATCGAATTCGGCTCGTCGGGTATTGAGAAATCGCATCATAGCAGGTTTCAGAGCCCTATGATGCTTACCGCTGAAGTGCTTTTTGGCATTCGCCATAAAGGCGTCCGCCAAATACACATCGTTCCCGTAGGCGCGGATTTCAAGATAGAACTCGTTGCTTACGCTCAATTCGAGCCATCTGGCGACTTGGCACGAAAGCTCGTGCCATTGCTGTCTCGCGGGATCACTGCGCGATGGGCGGGGCAAGTTTGCGTCGATCAAGAGGTGGAGGTTGTTGTCTTTTAAAATATTCATCACTTCGTCGTACCAATCATCGAAATCTTCTGCATCTTCGAGGCGAGGCGAGACCTTGGGCAACACGACCGGGTCAACGTCGGGTAGACCCGTAGCTTGGTCGACTGAAGTTTGATACCAATTGCGGTCGCGTGAGGCACCTGGGCTTGCGATACTGCCATTTGTCCCGTTGCCGTTGGGAGAAGTGAACATGGCCCGAGGCTCGCGCCCAGGGCGCTGAATAGATTCAGATGGAATTATGGCGAGAGATCAGGGGCACTTCTAATTTGAGAGGCTGATAACAGCGGGTGATGAGTCGCAGTTTGACAGTGGGGGTAATTGAAAAGATTTTGGACGAACATTCGATTTTTGAACTGATCTCAGATGGTGTCG